CTTGCAATCGGTGAGTGGAATATCGGATGACATGTCGCGGCAAACTCACCTTCAAGGCATAACAAGCCCCGCGTGTTCGGCCCGCAAACGTAGGGCCTATTCTCGAGCTACAACCACTCATGTCCCCTCCAGTCCATGGCAGCACAGCCCAAACCACATCCCACATCGTCAACGACGGTAGCCTTGCCATTCCCTGAACCGGACACCTGGTACGAAAGAACGCGGTTGGTGGTGACAACGAACAGTGTCTTTGAGCTCGAGACCCCAATCCGGTGATAGGTTCACCCGGTGATTCGTGTACGGTACGCGGTTTGGGGATAGCAGTATTATTGCTGACAGACTGATCGAGGTGGCGGTAGAGATACACTGTTCCGTCGGCGAATCCAATTGCGAGATGGGACAGGGTGGTCGACAGCGCAATGGTACAAACCGGATGAGGTTTGTTCAGCTGGATTTTCGTCGAGCGGATGAGCGGTGGTGCTACTGTTTTCTTTTCCAGGTCCCAGATCTTGAGCATAGGTGCGCGTGAGGACCCGTCTTCCTGTCCGCAAGTGGAGTCAGTCATAGCGTCCGCTGGTAAGTTCGCGCAGACGCACTCCGACCGTCACCAGCACCCCATTCCGCTCAGCCATATGCGTGACCCTCCCACCATCATATGCAATCCATGCGCGCTGCGTCTCGAATTCGCGACTGAGGATGTGCACGGTGCCGTAGATGTCGGCAACGAGTACGCTGGTGCTGGAAGAGATGACAGAGGATATTTCAGGAGTGTTCTTGAAGACTTCTGGCGACGCGTTCAGGTCGTGCGCGTCCTTGACAGGTGCAGCATCGAAGAAGGAAAAGTTGCGCCACTATTAGCAGTGTCATGCCTGCACAGTATGAATATAATGAAACGGCTTACTGCTGGGGCAGCAGGAGGCAGCGAAGACATGAGTAGCTGCTCAGAAACCTAAAGAATGAAGAAGATGCACACTCTCCTCATCCAATCACGCAGAGGATGCGAGGAGCAAGGTGCTACACTGTGCGATCAGATTACGGCTGTCTGCTGACGAAGCTGATTTAGTATGCATTGGTCGAAATCGGCTTTCTTTCCGCACCACCAACGCGCGCACTTACAGGATTCGGAACCTAGAGCAATAACAAAGACAATGTCGCTCCTAAGCCTTCCGCCGGAGATTATAGAACACGTCCTCGTCGAAGCGGTGATCGCCGGACACCCCAACTCTGTTGCTGCCGTCTCGTCCTGCTGCCGTTTCTTGCACAGTTTGGTGAACGAGATATGGCGGGAGCTCTTCCTCTGTCTGTTTGACGATCCACGCACCCTCCAAGCAATCAAGGACTCCGCCGGTCAATCCACACCGGCCAACTCCACCCGAGCGAACCCATTCGATTGGACCACATTCACCGCCCGTATCGGTGCTGCTAATAGTCTCAGGAGGGGCAATGCAGGTGCAGACTTCAGGGCTTTCATCGATACTGTACACACTGCGGCGCCGAGTTCTCCTGTCCGGTCCGACCCCACTCCGCGTCGCTCCGTCGTCTTACCCCCCATCCTTCGTACTCTCACTGACAGTCCCAAATCGAAGAGTCTGGTCTGGATTGAGGAGATCCTGTCGGAAGGTCTGCCGGCGCCGCTCATCTATCGGCTCTTCAATCTGTTCAATTCCGACGGATCAGAGTTCTCACGACCCGACTTCGAAGACACCGCACAGGGAAAGGCGTTCAGCAAGCTAACGTTCCTTGCGGGTTTGCACTTCTCTGACGACGAGGCCGCCTCTTCTGCAAGAAGCATGGCCCGGAGCCGTATCTACAACACGAAATACCTGATGTCAGAGAGATGCTGGGGGCCCTTCGAACCGATTGACCGCTCGCCAGACGCCTACTCCTGGCGGTTGCGGATGACGGGCACCAACTCAAATATAAAGTCGAGCCGAGTCGCATCTAACGAAAAGCAGCCGGCTTCCGAGACGTCATCTCGGAACATAGCCCATCCCTCGTCGATTGTGATAGGGCCCGATTTCTACACGGACGATGGTTCTGACTACGAGCCCGATTCCAACGCTTCAGACGAACAATCTGACGACTCGGACTCTGATGATGTGATGGCCACCCCGCATTTTCTGCAGTTTCTGTCCAGCCATGGCATTGATTTCACGGACGTGCGGACGCACCCAACATACGTGTTTCCTGCGCCACACCGGGTAGTGCCCGACTACGCATTCCTTGCGGCGGCGCGTTATCTGATGGAATGCAACATGCGGGAACGCTTCGAGGCTGAATTCGAGTACTATCGCGATCTCTCTGCAGCCAGCGAGGCTGCAAAAGAAGTCGGTCTTGAGCCTTGCGAAGTTGTCGATGCTATGCAGTCGTTGGACCTGACAAGGATGGGCGGGGCTCCCGGCTTTTGGGATGTTTGGCGTCCAGAGAACGACGAGGAACATGTTCTTGAGCAGCTTTCGCCTGTGGACCAACAGCAACACGCACCTGTAGACAAGGGCAAGGGAAAGGCTAGTGCTGCGGAGGTCGTCGAGGGATGGGACTGGGCTGGAGTAGAGGGTGAATGGAGGTGCGTCATATTCCATGATCAGATATGCTCCGAGCTCATCCCTTCAGACGTGTCGTTTGCTGGCTTGACTACCGGGATCTCCTGAGTAATCATCATCCGGACTTGTTCTGTATTGTTTTAACAACCAACAGTGCACAACGTCGACCTATCGCATGCCGGATTCGCCAGCTCTTCTGCAGAGGACGTGCAAGAAACCATTAGAATCTTTCCGACTTCGCTGCGAGTCTCCCACTACTCGAAGCCACCCAAGCCGCCTCCCGGCTCGAATCCAAATGACCTCATATGGCGTCTACCGATAATTCACATTATCGGCGAGTCGTGGGGCACCGACACCGAAGAGGCCAGCCGCCGCAGCGTCGAAGGGACTGTCAGGATGATCGGTGATGGGTGTGTACGCTGGAGCATGGTGCGTTCACGGGCAGTCGGATGTGACCAAAGAATCTATTACTCATGTCTCTCACATCAGGTCTCCAGCGAAGCCGCGGGTGCAGACCCAGAGTGGGCCACCGAATCGGTCCAGGTAGGGGAGATCGGAAGTGCTGCTGGCATCATCGGGCTCTGGACAGGAGCTGAGCACACAAGCACAGACCCGCTGGGTATGACCCAGTCTTCATCCGTCCCGAGTATATCGCTCACAACTGTTGCAGGTCCTTGTTGGGCCTGGAAAATTGCCTGACGACGTCTAAACGGTAATAGCTCACATGTAATAAGTATATTTAGAAGTTGTAAATCAGTATCTCGGGAATCATACAGTGCTCGATGAACTTGATGTCGGCCGAAGATAGCGACGGAGACACGGGGGAACAGAAGGACACCGGTTGCCCAGATGAAGGATCGCTGGAAATACTTCGCTGGAGGTGGTAAATGAAAAGGAGCTGAGGGAGCGTTAGAGGGAAAATGTAGAGAACGACAAAAAGGATCATTAGCCCACCGCGAGGGTCGAACTCGCAGCCTTCAGATCCCGCCTATAAGAGTCTGACGCTCTATCCGATTGAGCTAGGCGGGCTGATGTTCCTAAATATCAGGACAGTTTATGATAGACTTTTCATAATTAGGTTTGCTTACGGACTATCAACGAAGTCCGCTCGAGCACCAGATACCCTCTAGTTGATAGTCCAGTCTGGCACTCCTAGCTATAAGGCGTATCCATAATGGGATAAATTGCTCATGGCTTGTGTTGCTCGGCCTGAGCGCCAGTGTCGGCATCGTTGGCAACCCCCGTGCATGGCGCGGGCTATATTCCCCGCCGATAGTGATCACTGATCATGATACGCAGCCGACAAGGCTGTGCGATATCCCTCTTTAACTACCTTTCCTCACTCTTGCAAGGTCTGACTCGCTCACACACGCATATCACGCCCGCACGATGTCGATGCCACCGAACACGCAGCAGCAGCACCAGCACCAGCAGCAATATGCCCACACACCCGTGTTCGATGACTTTGGGAGCACTGATTTCGACAAGGGGTTCGACTTTTCGTCGTTCCAGAGCCCGTCGGACGTGCTCGCGCCTCACCCTGATCTCTTCGAGCTCGAGCTGGATACAAACTTGGCTGATTTCGATGCGGACCAGCTGCAGCTGCTCACGGTTGACTCGCACGATGCATACTCGTTCTTCCGATCCGACACGCCCACGCGGGGCCCTGCGTCGAACATAACGGCAGCCTCCTCTGAGGGGGGCTTCGACTCGCTCTCCTCCTACTCTGAGTCTTTCTATAACTACCCGCATTCTCCGCAGCCCCCATCGAACTACTCCTTCCCACTCGATTTGGAAATGGACTTTCGGCGCATCACCGTTGATGCTGCGACTTCGGACTACGCAGCAGGTGTGGGGACTGATTCCGCAGCTTCTGCAGCCGCTGCGCTGTTCAGTCCCCCCATAGGGCATGACGCCGCTGGCCGCAGCACGGGAAAGATCTACTCAAAAGCAGGGCCGTACCGTGCTCGTTCGACGTACTCTGACTACGGTCCCTCGACACGGCGCCCCTCTGTCCCAGTCGACTTGTACGCACACCTGAACTTCAATCCCGCGAACATCCCTGGCTCCACCGTGTCCCCCGCCCATATCTCGTCCCAGCTGCCTACGATCCCTGCTGGAAAGATGGCAGACGATGAAGAGTTGCACAGCGATGCACGAAAGAAATACAAATGCTCTGCCTGCCCGCGTGGTGAGTAATCTGCTGTGCTGCAGTGCGGCTGTCTCTGAGACGGTCCTCGATAGCCTTTGCCCGCGCATACAATCTCAAAACGCACATGGCGACGCACGACCCGAACCGCCTCAAGCCGCATGTATGTCCGCATAGAGACTGCGGGCGTTCGTTTAGCCGAAAACACGATCTGGGGCGACACCTTGTCAGCATCCACCGCGAGGGCTCGCAAGTTGACGGGTCCGTTTGCTCATCTCACCATTCCCTGGGATCTAAGAAGTCGATCGGCGTCGAACAGGGCACCAGAAGCTGGTGCGAGCGCTGCGGACGAGGACTCGTAGGACCGGCTGCCGACTGCGAATGCACATGAGCAAGCAGAGGCGTGCGTTAGATGGCCGTTCTTGTCCAAAGCTAGTTAGGTGGATGGCAGGAGCGGCGATGATGCTGGCTGCTGGGCTTAGAGAATCCGCCGCCTGCTGTTGTGCGCCGACGCGCCAGCCTCTGGCCTGCTCGCTCGACATGTCTCGTTTCTTCCCGCTTTGGCATGCATGTATGCGTGTTCTTGGCCCCGCGACGATCGAGATCTCGGAAATTACTGTATGCGCTGTTGCGTTTACTGCGTCTCGTAAATAATTGTATGTCGGCTTTCAATCTACGATGTGGAATAAATGATACTACCGCATGATCTTCTTGGAAGCTGCGGAGCTCGGCGCTTTATCGGGGGGCGGGCCTCACCACATGCATGCAACGCAATGCAGCATGCGCGCTGGTAGTTCTGCGAGCTGCGGCGCAGGCCGCAGGCGCGCAGCAGACAGGGCCAGCCTTGTGTGTGTCTCCATCAACAGAGTACCTGATCGGTGATCAACCCATCACGCATGCCAAGCGATCTCTCGGCAACGATCATTATTGCACACCGCCACTGGCCCACCAACTTCGAGCTGCACCTGACCGCGATTGCCCAGTGTTGCATGACGGACGAATCTAGAAATTGCAGCTGAAATCCATGGCGCTTTTCGGCTCTGAGTCTGGCTTGCAAATCAAGTGGACCGATATCCGAGGCGCTTGAACGCCGGCGGTCCTGTTCTCTCACCTTCAAGAGGGACGTGCGCGGTGGCGCGTCTCGACTTTTCCGTGGATTGGATGCGGTTCTCTGGTAGTCTCACGCGGAACGTCCACGACGCGGATACTCGAGCCGCGCTCCTGACTCAACACCTCCTACGCGCACGCTAGACATGAGGGCTACCCGCACTGCATAAAAAGCATGCTCTGTCTGCATTCCAGCTCCTCACCCTTGCTACCTACGTTCATCATCCGCTCCTCTTCAGTCGAGCCATTTGCCATTTGCCCTATTATTCTTCTGTTATATTTGCTTATATTCGAGATGTCTGCCCCAGTTAAAGTGACTCAGTTCGCTGCCGCCGCCTCTCCGGCTTCGGTATGTCTTCTTCCGCCGGATAGTCTCCTCACTGCTGACGACGGTGACGAACAGGTCAAGTCACAGTCTGCACCCCCCGAGGTGAAGGGTCGTCGGAGATGTACCACGCAGCGTTCGCCGCTGGGTCGCTTCGCCCCCATCACTGCAGACTGGGTCTTGAAGATGAACAAGGAGGGCGGGGACGATGATGCGGTTGAAGATGCCGCGGATACGTCGATGAACCAGGTAAGTGCGGAACCCCTGTCTCACCTGACCGCGACACAGGTTAGGTTCAAGTTGATCGTGTGGGATGAGGATGGCGATGTCGTGATGGAAGATACAACCGAACGCACGGTACGTCTCTGGCAGCCGGTGCATTGATCTCGGCCCTCATCGATGCCCATAGGAGATGGAGATGGAGGCGGAACTCGACAGGGAGTTGGAGCTGGCCTTCTTCTCTCTCGGCCTGAATTCGGACACTTCGTTCGCGATCCCCGACGCCGACGAAGACTCGTTCGACGCTGACGAAGACTCGTCCGACGCCGAAGAAGATTCGTTTGACGCCGACGAAGACTCGTTCGATACGTCCACGCCTCCGCCAACGTGGGAAGAGCTGATGGTCTGGGATGCCGATGCCGATGCCGCTGCCGATGTGGACGCCGCCGACGAGTCTCTCTCTTCCTCGGAGCCGTTCCTGCTTGCGCTTGACTTCTCCCTGTTCCCGGGAACTGATTTGCCGTCGTTTGCAGACCCGTCGCAGCTCGCGTGCTCGCCGTCGCCGTCGCCGTCGCCGCTATCGAAGCCTATCTCTGCCGCCGAGTGGGATGAGGTCAGGAGCTCGTATGTGTCCGTGCATGACTCTTTCAGCAGCCTCGTTTCGTACCCGTCCCTGGAGTATGGCCTGGACATGTTCGCGCCTCCTTCACCTCCTCCTCCTCAGTGCGATTTCAAGATGTTCAAGCTGGATTTCAACTGCGATGTTCCTGATTATGTCGTTCCCGAGGTCGTCGACACCTCCAAGGATGCCGAAGAGGTCGAAGTTTCCGAAGTTTTCGAAGTCGTTGATGAATCCTCAGTCGTCGATGAATTCTCAGTCGCCGATGATCCTCCTCAAGCTATTGAGGTAGCCCAGACTAATGCACACCCAGCTGCCGATGTTGTCGAGTCCGCTGGTGTTCCCGAGTCCGCCGATTCTACCGAGACCTCCGATGTCCCCGCCATTACCGCCCCCGCCGCCTCTCCCGCTGCTGTTCTTCTGCCAATTCAGCCAGTCGTCGAATGTGATATCGTGATGGAGGACGACACACAGGTTACCCCTGCCGGACGCGACTGCTTTGACCTAATGATTCGGGACATCCTAGCCAAAGATCGAGCTTCCAAGCCGAAGAAGAAGAGCACCAGGAAGCCTAAGCGCGTGACAGTACCAGCTCACCGAATGATCCTTTCAGCTCTCCGGGTGATTCCCAGGACATTGAGGATAACATCGCCTTTGGCAATGCGTGCGCCGATTTCTGCTGAGGACTTGGAGGACGATGATGAAGAGGAAGTGCGTTGTTTCGTATCTATGTCCAAGAATGGTGCTGATTATGTGCAGCCGACGCCCGGCACTATGTCTCTGACGCTGGCCACCAGTTCGCCAGCTCCTGCCGAGGAGGATGCGCCCACTCTTGCATCGACTGCTGGCGAGGTTCGTAGTGCCCGACTACTGGTAGTTCGTATTGACCGGATCCCAGACGCTCGGCGGCCTCCCGAGTACCACCTCATCTCTCGACATCGCTGCGCTCGCACGTGGATCTTCGACGTCCCGCAAATCAAGCGGCCTCGGTCTCGGTCGCCCATCCACCCCGTCCTCGTCTGCGGCCGGCTCCAACTCAACAGACTCGGCCCGCGCCCCGATCGCCTCGCAGACGTTCACTCAGCCGACTACTCCCTCGACATCGTCTCGCCCCAAGACACGGCATCCCAGCGTGCGACTCCGGATCAGCTGCCACAAGCGCTGCTACTACATGGCCAAGAACGCCGCGCTCAAGATCAAGGTTGAAATGCAACGCGTGGGGGGGATGGCATCTCCAACATCAGCATCTACGGTGACGACTGTGGCTACGACATCGACATCGACTGCGGTCCTCTCCAACTTGAAGTTTACGTTTACCTGGCCGCGCGTCCTGGGCTTTGCGGACTGTGTGTATCGGGTGTGGAACTGGTCAGCTTCGGCAATCGGGTTGTAGGCAGGGTGGAGGGATGATGAAGAAAATCGGAACGATCGACCCGCGGCGACGATCCATTCACTCACTGAAGGGCAAAATTTATGAAAATTCAAAAAAAAACCGCGGGATGGAAACCGTATTCGGAAGAGAATGCCACGAGGATTCGCTACGGCTGAGCCTCACTTTTCATGCACGATTCCTTGCTGACTTGAGTTCTCAACAGTGCCCCCGCTCGGGGACTCTTTTTTCTTCTTTTTTTGCAGTGACCGGTGCTGAGGCTTGCGGCACGGCAGACGCGACCTAGCCAGTCCGGCTGTTGGTGTTTAGCTCGCTTTCGCACAGAGACACGATCTGACAAGCCGTCCGTCTCTCGTTGAATTCTGGGGGTGCATAGTCGCGGGCGTCGGCTCGTGCAGTTTTGCGGGATCACTTCGAGTTCTGGGGGCTATGAAAGACACGACCTGACAAGTCGTCGTCTGGAGCAGTTTTGCGCGAATTCTGGGGGTTATCAAAGACGCGATCTGACAAGTCGTCGTCTCAATGAGTTTTCTGGGTTTTATCCGGGTTCTGGGGGCTGAAGACACGGCCTGACAAGTCGTCGTCTTGTCCAATGTGCAGCCTGACAAGCTGCGCGGCGGCACACGATATGCAACAGACGCGTCCCATGGCGTCTCGGCGGTGACTCTGGCAAGTCGCTGCCAAAACCGTCTCGGCTCACTTCGGTGGCCCAGTCGCAAAAAAACCGAAATCGAGTGTGCATTGAATTTGGCTTGGAATCTGGATCTGGCAATCCGGGTGTCCGTTGTGGAGGGTGGTCAATCTCCCTCTGGATTAAGCCAGTCAAACGTGCTCTCGATATCTGTTTATGGGCTCATCTGCATCGGGACGCCGATGCAGATGGGCCCTTTTTTGCGTTCAGTGTGTTCTGCCACGGCCCGATTAGGAAATATCATCTGCATAATGTTTTTTATATTAGTTTCCGTGCAACACAGCCTTTGATCAGAGGACATCCGATAACCAGATTGTGAACGCATGGACCCATAAACTCTCGACGCGGTCTATAATAAACGAAAATGCGTTCGTGGAGAATGCTGATTCAGACAGACTTGCGTTTGTATTCGCACGAATGGGATTGGATTACATGCGCTGTGCCTGTGTGAAAGTGTCTAGACCTCGGCCAATCTTTACCATCTGGCTTTACTTTCTCTGACGTACCGACACGACTACGAGCGCCTATGAAAGTGTTCTATGTTGTTCATCCCTTATGTCATGCAAGAGAGGCTCGCTGGATATGCTTGCAGTGCAGACCGGCCGAGCAAGTCTGAGCAACCAGCAGATCGCTGGTCGACCCAAACTCTAACTTTATCTGCGTCGATTGCAGGGGCCCTGTTCTCCAGGGGGTGGGTCTCCATCGATGACTGACTGCTCGACTGATCCTGTGCGGATGCTATACTCACTCATCTCATCGAAGGCAAACCGCATTGCACCGTCACTCCGACGATAGCATTTTGGCTAGGGGCTTCTCCGCCGATGGTGCGCACGTAGCAAGCAGACTGGCGGACTGTATGATTCTCCAGCTGCCCGTGCGTGCATCCTATCCAGAAGGTCCCCGGTGGCCATTGACTGCAAAGACACCCTTCTGATGATCGACCGAACCTAGCGTGCGAGACGCTCCGATGCTTGAGGCGAAACAGTCTGAGATGCCCCGGAGGCAAGCCAGATTGGCGTGGCTGGGTTCCTTGCGTGCGATCGAGTTAGGCTTCGCTGACGGGTCCAGTGTTGTCAGATCGCCGTGTGTTGCGTGTTGCATGGAGTGCCTGTGCCTGGCCGTGCGGATAGTATGCTTCATCGTCGTCCAGAAACCGTGGCCCGCGTCTCCGCGGGTTTCGTTTGTTTTCCTTGGCCTGACACTGTCCAGTGACGAACCACAGGACACCAGTGCAACTTCCACCCATCGGCCCGCGTGTCAACCTGCTCGCCGGAGAGATCTCGTCGGGCCACGGACGTTATGTATGTCGTATGTGAGGATCCCTGCTTCAAGTTTGGATGCCGAGTGTCAGGCCGCATGCGCTTGTTCGATCGCATGATGACATGGGAGTCCGACCTGCAGTCGTTTCGTTTCGAGCATTCTCGCGCTGGACGACTGCCTCGCTAAGCTTATGGGGTCCGTGTCAGGAACCACACAGACGCGACGGACAGCTTCAGATCTGATACCTCCGTCCACCCACCCCATGCGCTGGACGCCGACCGAGATTGGTTTCTCTAGATCTGCTGCCGGGGCCACATGGTGGGGATGACGCTGGGGCCGCTGACAGGTGCGATGCTGGAGCCCGACATTCTGGATAAGATACTCAGCGCGGCTGTCCGATCGTGCCCAGTGCTCGCAACGTGGGGCCCGGCCAACACCTCGTTTTGATTCGGGTGTGTGTGGCGCGCACGTGATGGCGCGTTTCCGGGTTAGAAGACCTCCTGCCAGTGCTGATTCTGATTTGATTCTATGAGCCCAGGGCCGTTGTGCAAAACGTGCATATATACAAGCGGGGGAAGATCCTGTACCCCCTGTTCAAGCCATGCCACGCTCATTCGGACAGACCGCCATTCCCGTGGGAACGTCGTGTTGGTGTCGGCTCGCTGGGATTGCAAGATCTGGAGAGTCAGCTGCGGAGGCGCGCAGCTCGTCTGCTGACCTTGTCCACTCCTGACTCAGCGGACTTCATCTTTGCCCGCGCGTCCTGTGATGAAGCCGTCTGCTTGTTTCCTAGGCGTAATTACACTGGGCCAGACACCAAGTTCTCGTGATCGCAGGACTGCGGCGGACCGCTGCTCGCTGCTTACTCAGTCTGATTCTTCACTGTTATCGCGGCTGGCCCTATGCTCGTGCTGCGGTCTTTCCCTATCACGGCTAGCAGAATTGCTTTGACCGAAGATGCCTAGCACATTCTGCACATGTTTGTTTGCTTTCTGCTCTGCTGCTAACAACGTGACTGCGATCGCTCTCTCTGGCTTTCTGCTTACGAAGGGCTGCTGACCGCTTGACAGAACTTCAGTCGATCAACTTATCAAGTCGTCATCAACGCCCGGGGTTTCTTCTTTAGGCAACTTTCTGTTTTGCTAATTTTGCCAGTCCGTGCTGCACAGTTTCGTCGGCGAGACTGCGCAGCAGAGCCAGAAAAGCTTCAACAAGCTCTTTGATGCGATTGAGATCCTTTCCGTGGCGGCAGACCCATGCACCACGACAGGCAGCATGCAATGTCCTTTCTCGATTTGTGTGGTGCTCGCAACGGGCGATTGTGGTTCCGCTGAGAGTGGGGTTCCATTCCTGCGTTGATTATGCTCTATTAACACCTTCAATTACAGACCTGCTTCCGTGACCTGGCACGTAAGCCCCCTTGCCACGGCAGGGGCAGTAGTACGCTGAGACGCCCAGGTCACTCCACTCGGTGGATCGATCTTCAGTGGCGCATATCTGCTTTTCCACGGCTTTCTGCGTCTCTATCGCGGGTGGCTCCGTCTACATCTAGTCCACCAGGGCCAGGCGTCGTTGTGCTCGCTGCGGTGCAGATTTTGCCGCCTCCACCACCAGTCCGCTCATCTCCACCCACCGTGCTTCCGAGCCTAAAAGGCGCATCTTCTCGAACGATTTTGGTGTTGCTTTCCAGGATGCGGACTTTACAGGCTCATCAAATACGTATCCTTGCTCAAGAATGGATCCGACAGACCGCCTTTTCCAGGATAGTCCAGCTTTCACGAACGAAATGGTCTGGATCCAGTGGCTCGCCCTGGGCCGTGATCTCTTCCGGACGCACATTGGTATCCACTGCTCCAATGAGACCTGGCATCATCATCGATACAGCAGCAAGCCGCGTGTTGAGAGAATGTCACTGATCAGAACCCGCTTGCCACAATCGGATTGCAAGGGGGATAAAGTTACGATGAGCCGGGGATGCGAGGCTTTGTCGACGAGATAGGGTTCTCGAAGGCAACTGGTGCCTTCTCGGCGCGAGAATTTCGCTGAATCGTACATGGACGTCGGAGGGGAGATTTTCAAAGTGTTGGGGGACTGGGGATGTCGCGCTTGGGCACGCGACAGGCTTGACGCTGATGGCTCGGGGCACGAGGCGTTCTCCCACTTTTCGCGGTGTTGATCCGAGCGGAGGTAAATGAGAGCGGGTGAGCGTTGACTAGTCAGTCGTGAGTCATGGCAACGCGCGGAAAACGCGTCGACTGCTCCAACGGCTCTGCAGGACCAACCAATCTGACCAAACACAGGTCGGGAGGCCAGGTCTGACTGTTCGGACAGCAATCACAATTCGCACAGCATGCCGTTAACTCCGTCCCGTTTTGCAGCGTTCAAAGCATATTTCTCTGCGCGTATGAGACTGAGACCAATGTAAACCAGAGCGATAAACCGAGATAAGTAAGATAATTCAACATGGGGACCGAGCCCAACCATGAAGCGTTTGGCGCCAGAAGATCGATGAGGTGCCGCTAAACAAAACGTGTTGCCAACTGTTTGCCTTGCAGCCTCCAGCCTCACCACCTTCTTCCATTCTTCCCTCTTAACCTCACATCCCACCATCTCCCTCTCCCCGCTCCCCCACCGCCGAGTTACGACCTCACGTATAAACTATCTATACGCAACCCCATCTACTTCAAGCTGATTATTCTCATCGTCTTTATTCCTCGATCATTTGGGAAAGGACGGGGCCTTTAATTAACGGGTGCTTATCTTCCTCACCGAGCACACCGTGTCTCCTTCTGACGCGTATCCTATCTTTGATTCATGCAGCATTAACGACTTTTTCATCCAACGCTCCCGAATCCAGTCACTCTCACGAACGGCGCGCACGCTTGGCTTGCTACGAAAACGAAGGTGAATCGTCATTAGAGGTGCGCTTGTTTCTCGGCCCCGTGTCCGCCACAGTGTCGCTGACGTCGTGCGGTTGCATTCGTCATCTCCACAGAATAGGCCTCTTGGTGACCAACCAATCCATCTACCCGGCCTCGTTTCTAAAATCTCTCTTTCAATCCGCCCCATCCTCATGTCTGCCCATAACGACCCTACCATGACTTCCGATCCAACCACCGCGAATCCCAGATGGCGATTCAACAATAATGGCCAATTGGTGGACTCCCAGGCTGAATCAGCCGAATGGGACCTCGCTGACGAGATTGTTCGCCTCAAAATTGGTGAAGTCTCGGCCGATTCAGAAGATATCCCCATTCGCACGCCCCCAAAGTCAAAGCTTGGCTCGGCGCAGCTTGTAGAAACAAGTCCTCTGGACACGGCATCCATCCCGAGTGTCAACTCTTCTCCGCTTGCCTCCGACCACATCGGCGTTTCGCATTCGCGCGGCTCCTCGACCGACAGTACGGTCTCTAGCTCGCAAGACTCTGTCGCGAGTAACACTATGGTGGCGCCAATCAAGGCCGAAGCGGTGAACGGCGGCATTGGCGCCGGTGACCTCAAGGAACGCCCTCATTCGTTCAGCGGCGGGTTGTCCACTGCGGAGTTACGTCGGTTGCAGCAGGTCGAAGATGCGTCGGAGGGTGTCGATGGCACTGCCCAACAGTGGGCCTCGATGCCACAGCAGTTCGCACCCGAACAGCAACCTCTGTACCCTTCGCTTTCCGGAAACGGTGCAGCTGTCCATCGGCCTCCCCCCTTGGGACCCGCTCAGCTATACGACTACCGAACCGGAGCCTTGCAGAATGCGCCTAGTCGCGAGGACCTTCAAATTGACTACAACATGCAGTCACAGCAACGCAATTTCTCCCCGGGATCCCCAGGGTTCATGCCCGGACGTCCGAACAGCGGTGTGCCAGGCATGGCTTATCGCCAGGCACCTCGAGGGTTCCCACAACCCGGGCTCGTTCCAAGCCCGACTGCGATGGCGTATCCCCCCGGCACCCACGGCCCGCACATGTCACTCGGCAGCTCGCAGCAGCTGTACGAGATGATGCTCCCTGGACACGAATCACACCATCCGGCTGTCTCCCGTGTCCAGCAGCAGCACAACGTTTTCCAGGGCAGACACCACCACTCGACGTCGGACCCGTCTGCGCTCCGGGATGCGGCGGCGCTGGCTTTGCTGAACAGCAACATGCAGGCGTTCAATGCGAATATGTTCCCGGGAGGGATGCCGCCTCCGGCTGGGATGCCAATGTACAACCAGTTCTATGCTGCGCCAGAGGCCTACGGGCGTCCGGATGTTGTGACGGCCCAAGCGATGGCTCGTCTCCAGGCGCAATACACTGGGCCGTATGGCATGCCGCCCTCGATGGGCATCCCCACGGATGGAAGCCTGAGTCCTGTGGGCAGTGCCAATGGTCAGGGACCGAGCGCCAACAACCGGAAACTGGGGCTTTACAAGACTGAGCTGTGCCGCAGCTGGGAAGAAAAGGGTTCTTGCCGTTACGCGGGCAAATGCCAGTTTGCTCATGGGGAGGAAGAGTTGCGAAATGTTCAGCGTCATCCCAAGGTGGGTCCGTCCTCGGATATTGTGGGCTTGTGTTGACTTGTCTATTCTAGTACAAGACGGAGATCTGCAGGGTTTGTTTATTTGCTCTGCCCTTCTCTCACCGATCTGATGTCCATTCAGACCTTCTGGGTTTCGGGGTCGTGCCCCTACGGGAAACGGTGTTGTTTCATTCACACGGAGCTTCCGCCTTCTGGCGAATCAGTGCCCCCTCCGCCACACGCTTCTGACGGACGAGCACGATCCATGAGCACGAACAGTGATCCGAATGAGGGCTCTGTCTCGATCCTGACACGAATCAAGCGAGAACCGGTAGCACAGATGGCCACTCCGACACCGACAGAAGCAACCCCTACTACGGCATTCGCGTTCTCTCGGCCGGCGACAGGATCTCTCAGGGTCGACACGTCGGTGGACGGCTCATCGCTAAAGCAAAACAAGTCCGCCTATCCGACGTTTGCGAGCAACGGGGTCCTGATCCATGCACCGGAGCGCATCGGTTCGAAGTCGCCTGTGCCCGTGACTGCGGGACCGGATCTGGGCCGGCACAACAATGCCAGGATAGAGATTGTTGGCTTCAACCAGGTGATTGAGGGGCTGTTCTATTTTGTGACTACGGTCTGACAAGAGAATTGATTTAGCGATCCAAGGCGGCCACTGGATCTAATACTGCCGTACGCCCAGGAACTCCCCCGTCGAGCTCTGGCGGCCGGGTCAATGGACATGTCAGAGCAGGTTCCGCTGGGAACTGGGGCAGCTTCTCGCGGAGCTCCCACCTCGGCTTTGGTCAGTCCAGCCCGTCGACAGAAGTGGGGTCTTCGCCGTGGTCAACGACTGAGCTTGCCGTGGGATCGTCGCGGCTGCATGAGAAGGCCGCCTGGGCTTGATCAGCTGCCGCTGCTGCTCAAGCTGAAGCGGAGATTCACCACCGCTGCCTCGAACTGATTCTGACCTGTCTTCTTGATTACGACTGCCGCCTGGTTCGGACATTCTTCTAGCTCTGCTTGCTTTCCGGGCTCTTATCTCTCGCATGCAAACATCGTCCACTCGCATACATGTTTTTATTTCTCAATCAATCTCGCGTCGCCAGTTTATTCTTATCCTGTCCAGTAAACCACTAAATAAAAAAGTAGGGCTACAACTACAGATCCTGTAAGATCAGCATAATACAATCAGTATGCGTAGTAGTCTTCCATCCTCTACAACCCAAAATTAAGTCACAGGCCTAGCGTCTTGAGCGCAACCCGGAAAGCAGTCATCCTGGCCTGCGCGTACTTAAGATACTCGAACTCAGGCTCGACGATCTGTCCCTCGACGTCCTCTCTGGCCTGCACGATGCCCCAGACAGCCCACCACGCGTGAGACGCTGCGTTCCACAGCTGGACCTGCTCGTCGAGGCACGGCAGCCGCTCGGAAATCTCGCACTCGGACAATTCCTCTGCGCTGTGCTCGAGGTAAGCGCGGTAAAGATTGTAGCGCTCCGATTCCACCGGGTACCGGCTGAGATCGGGCAGGTGGGGTGTGTCGCTGTGGTAGTTGAACATCCACTCGTTCCAGTGATTCGCGAGATCATAGGCGGCCGGGTTCGGTGCTGCATATTCGAAGTCGACAACAATGAGCTGGGATAGGAGCATCTCGTTAGTCAATCGACTTCTGTCCAGTCAAGCCCGGACGTACCTGACGATGGTCGGGAATCTTCTTCTCCTCCGTCAAGAGCAGCAGGTTTCCGTACTGTGTATCGTTGTGCGCAAAGACACGCCGGCTGCCTTTGGGCAAGTTTTCCAGAGAGGACAGCCGGGACATGTACAGATCCCACTCGGTCTTGAATCGAGGAAAGTCCAGTTCGCTGCGCAGGGCAGCCGGGAATTCGGCCAGGGCAAGGACATCGTCAGCAGGGGCGATCCAGGAGCGGATATTAGCCTTGACTGCAATCTCCCATCCCTTGCCTTCGATGGCTTCGATGTCGACAGAGTGGAGATCCGCCATCCGAGCTCCGATCCAACGACTGATCTTGGGATCTCGGAGGTCTGCCGCAGTTAAGGTGGTGGACTCGAAGTACTCTTCTACACGGCCATTAGAAAAGGTCCCATACACGCGAGGTCCAAAACGGTATCGCGATGATAACATGTGCAACGTGTGAAGTTCGCGCGGGCGGGAGATCAAAGACCCTGAAGATGCCCCATAAATCCTAAGCAGCACGGTGCGGCATCCGGCGCGTGTGGAAGACACAAAGAACACGGCATTCGTCAGAGACCCCGACACTTTGAAGATGGATACATCGTCAGCTGAGATGTCAGCGGCAGTCCAGGTCGGAACCTTGAGCGATCGCAGACAGTTCAGGACCTTGGTGGCGAATGTTGGCTGTTTGTAATGTCTAGAGAAAATGTGCATGAGTGATGGATCTCGACGATGGTGGTCAGACGAGCAGACCAAACCATGGCCGTAGTCAGACTGCTGTCCGTTCAGCGTCACCAGAGGTGCCCCGTGTTCTATCGAGTGGTATGGAACTGTTCTCACCTGGCATCCAGTCTGATTTCGGTGTGTCGCAGTCCTTCGGCTTTCACGACCTCCTCGTCCCCCTCGGCAAGAAGGATAGAGGAAGAGGAGGCTGACAAAGCACTGGTAAGCATTCCAGCCACAGTATGCAGTGACGTAGTGGATCTTTGTTGGGTGAGCGAGATGACGGGAGAGTTCATGAGAGACATGGTCAAGGCCAAGCAAGAAGACTTCGCTCACACGACACCTTTCGAAAACTCCAAATGATGGCGTCACCGATACGACATTGGCATTTGATGTGACAGTCAATGTGACATGAACTGACTTGGCGGCATCACTCGTGGCTTATCTTTCGCTGTGTACCTCCGGAGTCCGGACGCATTAAATCCGCCAAGTTTCGCAATGGGTCGCAAACGAGATGCAACCTATCTCTCGCTTCTCCGAACAGCGCGTGAGACGATCGGGCCGCACGGACTTGCAGCCCGACTTACTCGAATGGTGGTCTCAGTGGCCCTGCCTCTAGTCGAGTCTGGCCCCCCGTTCGCGGTCTACGTAAGTCCGATTCGGCTGCCAAGAGACCCGCGGGACATCTTGCATGGCGAAGCAAGCGAGAAGTCCAAGCTTGCAGGCTGTAGTGATTTTGCAGCCCGATACTGTGACGACAGTGCCTTGTCGCGTTCCTTGGTTTCCCTGCGTTCGGACTGTATTGCGCAGTCTCCACCCTGCAACATATTCGATACTAGACTGATTTGGGATGTAAATCCGAGACTGGGAGGCGCAGATCACTCGGTTGATTGAGTCCGGATATCCTTCATTGACTCTGTAGAATACATATTGATGGTACGGTAAAGTGGGAATTGCATGTCTGTCATAGCCGATTTGCGGAACGTCGCTAAGGGTTCCCTGATTCGGCAGATTTCTCGTCAGTTTGGATGACCGATTCGGGCCGTCTTCCCCATAGAAGGAGGAGCGACAGCAGCAAGGAGACACCAAGACAGGGTGTACAGAACGTCCAGACAGTCTGCAGCGACGATCAGTCAGCCGTGGATAGCGTTCGAACGGGACGGGATCATCACCTGGATCGATGTTGCGATGATATGTAAGATCTCAAGTTTGTAGGTCTGCGGCTGGAGATCTCGGAGACGGGAGAAGTCAAGAGATGTTCCGCCGCGCTCGAGCAAGTCAGATGGAAGCCGGGCATACGCTCTGGCATCAAAAATCGCGCCTGCAATGGCCTGAAGGAGATAATCAGTCGAGACAGTTCACCCCTCCGGACGAACCAGACACACCAGTCCGACAGTAGAGCCGGTAAAACGGACGAGAAAGAAGGCACTGGTGCCGGCCGCGAGGTCTCTCCGTTTGAGCGTTTGGATGAACACCTGATATGGTGCATGGAAAAGCATCCCGATGCCTATCCCAGCGACCAGCGGGACGACTTCTGCTATGATGGTCGATCTTTCGTTGAGCAGATTCAGCAGTCCTGCCAAAAGATGTTAGTCAATGGCGCACCATTCGATGGCTGAGAAGTGGGCCCACCGAATCCTACAGTTGCGATCAGCAATCCAACGGAGACAACCCAGCGTTGTCCATTGCTTGTCTGTGTCCGCCGCTGCCAGTAGTCCATGAACCAGGCAGCAGGCATCGATGCCAGGGACCCTCCAAGAGAATATGGCAACAGCTTGTAGCCGGCCTCGAGTGGCGTCGAATCGTTTGCAGCCTGGAAGATGCTCGGATCAAGCTCTTCGACAGCCCGGAACACAATATACCTGATAGAACAGGGCAAGATAGAAGGTCCCGGCGGTGAATGCAACGTTGTGGAAGAAGGTGATCCATAGAATGATGACTAGGGCAGTTGAAGAAGGGAAGGCAAACAATAAGAAAGGCGGCGCACTTGTCCTTAGATCACTGAAGGCGGCGGCTGGAAACAGGCAGTCTCGCTTTGTCCTAGTTTCGTATACACCTCCACAAACGAGCGTGGCCAGTCCAAAGCAGATGAACGACAGAGTCGAGGGGGACGACCCTGTCGAACTTGTAGTGCAAGTCACGGGTGTGACGGGACGGCTTACATCCGTTCTGGGAGGCCAGACTGAATCCAACCACGATGAAACTGCTGCCAATCATAAACAAGACGCTGCATCGAATGAGCGTTTACCAAATGGGAGTAAAAAATTGAGCGTACAGCCCCAGGAAATCGAACGTGCGAAGGAAAGAATCCCATGAAGCATTGGGTGCTTTGCTCAGCGGCACACCGCGAAGCGCGAGAGCGATCACGGCGAAGCCGAAACATCCCACAGGGAGATTGAGATAAACTTAAACATGGTGACAAAGCGCCAAGGTTTTATCATCAACAAGCACTCACAACCAAATCTCCAATTCAGGACGCCGGTGCTTCCTGGAAGGATCCCGGTCAGGTCTGAGCCAACGGCATGAATAAGCGAAGCTCACCGCTGAAGAGACCGCCCAGCAGCGGGCCAGCGACGGCGGAGCAGCTCCACGTGACGCTGAGAGCTTGAGACCACTTTGCGCGATCGCGAACGGCGACTATCTCTGCCGTGATGACCCAGACCGAGCCCACGATGCCTCCTGCGCCGCTTCCGGCGACAGCGCGAGCAGCAAGAAGCCTGGGGCGAGGCAAGTAAGAAGAGGCCGGTCATCGGAAAGTGGCCCAAGACTCACATGGGGACATTCTAAAGAGCGAGGAACGATTAGAGAACGGACTGACGTAAGCCAGATGATGACCGGACCTTGGACACGCCACAGAGCAAGGAACCCAGCAGAAAGACACACATGCTCGAGTACAGAACAACCTTAATGCACTCGTCATCGCGATTATGTGACGCAGGTTGCAGGGGCAACTCACCTTTCGCCCGACCAGATCTGAAATCCGCCCGTACAGTGGTTGCAGAGCCGTTTGTGTGAGCATATATGCGATGCCAACCCAGCCGTATTCATCCTGCGACATACGCATCTCACTCGCGATTGTCGGGAGACTGGTCGAGACTATCGTCTGTGGGTACACCGTGTCAAACGCTATAATAGACCTGCGAATCAGCTCGCTTACAGCATCTGTTGTTGCCAGAAACAGAGTCAACGCCGCACTAGCAGAAGATTATCAGCAACTCGAAGTACCAACTGTACGTCGCGTTTGGCACTAACCCGATATGGGCCGCAAGTAAGCGAAGCGTGGAGAGCTGGGGACATGTTGGGCCAAATTCATCGAGCGTCTCGGAGGAACAGGTATCGAGGCTGCGAATGGACGCTGGCTCAGGCTTGTCTTTCTCCACCGACGACGCGTCGTGACCGTGTATGGGCTCGGAGAATGTCTTGAGTGTGGCGACGGAGCACGTCGAGGAAGAGGGCTCGAGAGAGTGCGAGGGCGACAAGGCTGGGGACTGCATTCCGGCGAGCGCTGGTTTCCAAGGCCGAGCAGCGGTCGCGATTTATAGAAAACATTGTACAGCAGTAGACTGCCCACTGGCTTTCATCTCGATTTGCTCGGGTGACATTCGCCAGGCCGAATCTACGAAGAAGTGTTGCTGGATCTGGAGACTCAGATCTCATAGAGGCGAGCTCGCTTAGCGAGATCTCTTCCTCCGTTCCGACTGAATTAGGAGAGGGCAGCAGGCAGTCTGACAGACAATCGCAAAAGAACCCAAGTTAGATCTTACGGACTTCCGGAAAAATATAGAGCCTCGTTGCCTACCGAGATTTTGGCGTCGAGATCTCTGCAGTCAATGAGGATGCGTGTGTAGGACAGTGTAGGCATATCTTTTTCCTGGCCAAGCGCGGGGACAACGCCAGGGCCGCTGGCTCGCAATGTTGCCAAGTGGGCTAAGGCCCCGAAACGACTCGACGCTGCCAACAAGTTCTTCTGGCCAGACAGGGTCGGCAGCCGCAATGGCAGTTCCCCACAAGGAAATGCATTTGTTTGGATTCCTCTGCCCACTCTCGCTTGTACCACGTGGCAGCGCAATCCTCCCATCTCGCCAGGCACTGTGTGAGTGGGCTGTTTGCAGCGACTAATGAAGGGTGTAATGTAGTAGTTAGGTTACTTCTATGCTGTTGCCTTCCGCTTTTCGTCCTGTCCTGTTCGTTCGGCCTCTACAAGAACAACGTCAATGATCCGTGCGCAGCTCGAGACAACACACATGCCCCGAGGGAGGGTGAATCATATTCCGGTGAATTTGCGAACATGGCCCCAGGCTCGATTCAACCATCCCTCCTGTGGGCGAGTGAAAGAGAGCATACCATTGTCATCAGAATCGTCCTTGGGGCCATCCCTGCTCGTGCTTCGCCCCTCAATGTCGTCCGCGTACATTTGTATCAGTTCCCGCTGCCGAGAGGTAAGCGACCTGACATGCGTGGTTAGTGAGCTCAAAACAATGCCGTATTTCCGTCCAACCTGGGTAATTGCACCGAAAAGGCCACAAAGAGATCCCCAACGTCCCGTCCATTAGGTAACGTCACCCCTCGACCTTTCAGAACCATCTCTTCGTCTTGCTGCGTTCCCGACGGAACTCGCACGTCCACGTCCCCGTCCAACGTCGGGACCCGTACTTTGCCACCAAGCATCGCCACATGGATGGGGATCCGCGTCCGGTGATACAGGTTCTTCCCTTGCCGAGTAAAGTCTTTCGAAGGCGTAACGTGTATCCTCACGAGCAGGTCACCCGCGCTCCCCTTGCCAGATATTGGCGCATCCCCTCGTTGGGGAAGCCGCAGTGACATCCCGTCCTCGACACCTGTGCCCAACATCAGTCGCTGTTGAGCCCGCAGGATGAACAAGCGACAACGCACCGGGAGTTATGTCAACTTGCACGGTCGTCTTGGACCGAACCTTTCCAACGCCCCCGCAACTTCCACATTCCGAATTCCGAGGGACCGTGCTCCCGGTGCCCTGGCAGGTGTTGCATGTACTAGCCATCTTGAAGCCGCTGTCGATGACGAAAGTACGCGTTCCCTCGCCTTTACATGTCGGACAGGTCGAGCGCTTGGCACCAGGCTTCAGTCCGCTACCGGAGCAAGGGGCGCAGTCGACGACCGGAGTGATGTTGACCTTTCTTGATGTGCCCTTACAGGCTTCAAGGAAGGTAATGCGCACTGAGACCTCTAAATCACTACCCCGCGAAGCTTGTGCTCGAGCACCACCGAATCCTTGGAACAGCTGGCTAAACAAATCCGATTCTTGTCCGGAAAAGGACCCATTGAAGCCGTGGAAGCCAGAGAACCCGCCGCCGCCACCGCCTCCAAAGCCTGAGAACGCATTTGGGTCGAAGCCAGCCTCCTGCGATGCCGAACCATACTGATCGTACATTTGTCGTTTAGTGTCATCCTTCAATGTCTATAGAAACAGGGTCAAATCGCGTTCACTTTGCGAATCTTTGCCAAACGCACATCGTATGCCGTTTGTATCTCCACAAACTTCTCTTGAGCACCTTTATCCGTACTCGTATCGGGATGATGCTTGCGGGCGAGCTGCTCTGAGAATCAGAAGAAGAAGATGTCGCGGAGTTCGAGTTACTGACCGCAAAGTATGCTTTTTTGATCTGTGCGGCGCTAGCGTCCTTGGCAACACCGAGTACATCATATGGGTTTTTTTGAGCCCGTAACGACGCGGAGGCGTGTATCGAGCGCTTGGTGAAGTCAGATTGTAGAAGTCGCGTTTCAATGAATCACGCACCCGCTGCGTCGGCCGCGGACAAGGATACGTTATGTTATGAAGACATCTAGGGCGATAGAGGGAGAAGGAGCGCGCGCCCTGGGGACGAAGGGATTGAGAGCAAGAGTGGAGGGCCAGGAACGTAGAGAGTCCCTTTGAACACAGACGCGAGTGCATGTAGATTAGCAGGGACCGAGACCTAGAATACCGACGGAGGGAGAGAAACGCGTAAATTTTGAAGTTGCTGATGTTTGCTCCGATGATGGCGTAAATTGTTGGTCAGCGAACGTTCTCGTACTCTCACGACGACAAGGGCATAATCTGCTACGTTCTGCTAAGTGCCTGTGCGCGCTTTCCACCATGTCTTGCCATACGACACCAGGATCTCCTCGCCTGTGACGTAGTCAACATCGTCTGAGATCAAGTCACCGTGGACCGCGGCACCTTTCTTGATCATTCTCGTGCTCTCTATTCTTATCCTCAACTGGCCAACTCTATCCTCCACGAATGCGGCGTTGGCCCGTTCCTGAGCTGGTACGCCACGGTAATCATTCACGAATCTTGCCTGAAAGCCGTCAATCCCTAACAACGACCCAATTGTATGCGGAGACCTCATTCCCAACACGACTCGCGTCTATTCCGATGCTGACATCGTTGCTTCGGAATAACGAAAGATCGTAATCAGACTCTTCGCGTTCGTCGCAATGAACTTCGCCTGTTTCCCGTCGCTCATTGAGAGGCATATGGGAGCAAGAAACGAAAGCGTGCCAATGTAGTTGATGATGTGAGTGTTTGGGGGGATCTTTCTGGCGGTTTTCTTGGTAGAGCTTGGGTGCAGGTCTACTCTCCCACGTACTTGGTCGCAAAGAGCCCAAATTGGCCGCAAGCAGGATGATCGGAGTCGGATATTCGTTTGATTGCCACGGGCGAAGCGCGAGCGTGCAGTGGAACCGTAGTCTTTTCTCCTTCTATGAACTGGCGCAGTTCTCTTGATACATTGGATGCGTAGATGTAGCTCGCACTGTACTGAACATTGCCAGGCCAGTTGTGGGGTGGCGACATGAGAATTATCCAAATCAGGTTAGGGTTGGAAGACCGCGTTGGTCGTGTTGTGCAATCTGATTCTTGCCTCTCGCGCCCTTGTGCAGTGCTGTCGTTCATTACCGCAAGCATTGCTATCTACTTCGCGGGGTCGCTGTCCTTGTCCCGCCTTATCTCACCCCGAATCCACCGTGTCTACTCTACCGTCAGTCGCATGGGAAGAACACCCACAGTCACCTCCGTTTCTCGCGTTTATCCGGATGTAAACGCGAAACTCGGTACGCCTCAATCATCTGGGAATCGACTTCTGGAATAATCTTGGGCAGGATCATCTTGGCATGAGTACGACAACTTGCAAGTCCAATGGGGCTCGCAGGATCACTACGAGATTGTGCGGAAAGTGGGGCGTGGCAAATACAGCGAGGTTCGCCGGTCCTTTTTTTCTACCGATTCGACGAAACAACGTTCTCCAGGTCTTTGAAGGGGTGAACGTGGCCACGGAGGAGAAATGCATCGTTAAAGTATTGAAACCCGTGAAGAAGAAGAAAATAAAGCGTGAAATTAAAATCCTCCAAAATCTCGCTGGGGGCCCAAACATCGTTGCTCTATTGGACGTTGTCCGAGATCCCGCGTCCAAGATCCCAAGTCTGGTTACGGAATATGTCCAGAACATCGAATTCAAATTGCTCTATCCTCGTTTCACGGACCTGGATGTGCGATACTACATGTTGGAGCTACTAAAGGTTACGACGATCCCATATCTTTACCTGTTTCTGACTTTCCGTCCAGGCTTTGGACTATTGTCACTCCAAGGGGATAATGCACCGAGATGTCAAACCCCACAACGTTATGATAGACCACGAACATCGGAAGGTATGGCAAGATCCAGTGGTCAAGTTCCGACGTGAACGATTTCCCAGTTGCGCTTGATAGATTGGGGTCTGGCCGAATTCTATCATCCCAAGGTTGGTGTGGTGCCTGTCCGGCATTCATGCAGCCAGGCTGAAAATAGAGTTTCTAGACTGAATACAACGTGCGCGTGGCATCGCGTTATTTCAAAGGCCCAGAATTGCTGGTGGATTTCCAAGAGTACGACTACAGCCTAGATATGTGGAGCTACGGGTGCATGTTTGCCTCGATGGTGCGTCCCACCGATGAGCTGTGGTATGTCCTTTGCTGAAACAGGCGTTCCTAGATCTTCCGGAAGGAACCCTTCTTCCACGGGCACGACAATTACGATCAGCTTGTGAAAATAACCAAGGTCCTCGGCACCGATGAGCTTTACGCCTACATTGACAAGTATAACATCCGTCTGGACCCCCAATACGATGAGCTACTGGGAAGGTGACACGAGCTGAGATCTTTTTCCACGACGGCAATTGACTGTGGGACAGATATCCTAGGAAGCCGTGGACACGCTTCATCACATCGGAGAATCAGCGATACATCTCGAACGAGGCGATCGACCTGTTGGATAAGCTGTTAAGGTACGATCACCAGGAGCGTCTCACTGCGAAGGAGGCACAAGCTCAGCCGTATTTCGGTATGTCCCCCGATGATGTCATACTCTCCGTTTCTCTGACGGCTGCCCAGATCCCGTTCGCACGCCCTCAGATGCGGAAGGCGATTCCCTGTCGGGATGATGCTGTCGATGCTGTCGATTTCTGCGTTGCCTCGTTCTGCATTGCACTGTGTTATCCGATCCCATACCTTTCTGTATACTGAGTACTCTAGACAATCTGCTCTATATTTTCACATGACTGCCACCGCCGATCGCGCTTCCCTGATGAATTCTGCCTTATCTGCACGCTCACATGTTTTGGGTCTTCAGCTGGACGACTGAGAGACTATCTGCGGGAAGAGAAGTTGTCCGAAGCATGGCCGAGGCCCGTTTTGGTCTTCTTGGTGAGTGCTCTTGGATTCTCTTGAAACACATGTCCCAACTCAAGATGCTCAAAAGGCGAAAGAATACTCGGGGGATCTCAAGCGTGCAGAATGTCCTCGCTCGCTGTTTTGTTTCTCGCCGTCTCGTCTGTGGCATCGGCATTCGACAATTCCCGATACGACAATGTTAGTTCGTTCGAGCGCTTTATCCGGCATTTCCCGCCGCTGATTATCACTCTCAGACCGCCGTGTACCATCATAGTTTCGATTGCTCCCGACCGCGGCTGATGTTCCGTTCCCAACAGATACTGGGGGCAGAATTCTGTCGGCGCCATCGCAGGGACGCCTTCCTCGGAGTGGCAGAAACCGATCTCGTTCTACTGCGCGGTGCGGCTAACCGGTGCACAAGCCTTCTCGGGAGGAGGCTGATCATTCAACATCCCAGGATGATGCCATCGATGTCATTCCTGTGGCCTTTGTGAACGGATTTTTCTCGACGGGCGGGTTGCCGACGATGAATCTGGCCAACGTGCGCACGCGGTGGCTTACCTGCGCGTCCGTGCAAGCACGCTCACGTGCGTTGAACAGAGCTGCAATCCGACGAACAACGCGACGTTCCCCGGCACGAGCCTCCCGGACTGCGCAGGCTTGGCGGCGGACATCGCGGCCTGCCAGGCCGCCGGTAAGCTGGTGAGGATCCAATATTCATCCGCCGCCAATGGGTGATGGACGAGGTCTGATGTGGCCCGGGCAGGTTACTATCTCGCTTGGCGGCGCGACGGGGGGTGTGGGCTTTGCCTCCAATGCGCAGGGCCAGCAGTTCGCTCAGACGATCTGGGATCTTTTCCTCGGTGTGTCTGCTGCAGCCGTCCGAGCCGGGCTTGGGGGGTCTCACAAAACAGGACAGGCGGCTCCTCGTCCACGCGTCCCTTCGGAAATGCTGTTCTGGACGGGTGTGTGCTTTGCGATCGTCTGATGCATACGATTCTCACTCCTTCTTGTCGAGCGTTGACCTCGAGTAAGCATGTCGCTTGGCGCTCTGTGCATCTTCTGAAGGCCGTTCCCAGCATCGAAGCTGGAACGGGATCGGGATACACTGCTTTTGTGGATGAGATACGGTCGCTGGCGAGCGATGCCAGCAAGAGGTTTCAGGCTTCGAGTGGTCGCAAGATCGGTCGTGCACTGACAGCGCCTCAGATACTACGTGACTGCTGCTCCCCAATGCGTCTATCCAGATGGAGCACTGGGCAGTGTCCTGAATACGGCGTCTTTTGATGCCATCTATGGCAAGCATTTGACTCTTCGAACGCCGTCTCCCGATCTGAAGAATCCATCAGTGCAATTCTACAACAATCCCTGCGGGTTCGTATCTGCAGTCCGTCATCGCTCACCGATGACTGTCTGTCAGGTTGAACACTTTCAGCAGTGCTTCGGTGGGGTCCCTGGTTTCGCGAGATGATGGCTGTCAGGCGTTGACCCCCCCTTCACAGGGCTGGGATTTCGGCCTGTGGGACGCCTGGGCTCGAACGCTCAGCCCCAACCCCAACGTCAAGGTCTACATCGGGGCACCGGCGTCGGCTTCGGCTGCAGGGTCAGGGTACTCGGATCTCAGCACCCTCAGCAGTATTGCAGTGCAGATGCGGAACAGGCCCGTTCCACCCTTTTTTTCTGTTCATTGTCGTCCGACGTCTCACCATTCAGCACAGTTTCCCTTCTTTCGGCGGTGTGATGCTTTGGGATGCAGTGAGTTGAATTTTGCATGCATGTCGATCAACGACTCTTATCCCTCTGCCAGTCTCAAGCTTATCGTGCGATTTCCACACTACACCGTCTCACGCTTTGACCGGCTGCCTTGCAGAGAACGGCCGATATGACAAGGGCATCAAGGACGCACTCGTCTCCGCAGGAGGGACTGGTTTCACCTTTCCGTCGTGCACAGAACCGCTGTACTCGCCCACAGGCACCTATCCCGGCGGCTCACGTGTGACCTACCAGGGGCAAGTCGTGCATGTCCTGCAGCACTCGGGACACCCGGCTAACCTTTTGTCTAGGTACATCTGGCAAGCCAAGTGGTATGCGTCCACGCTCCCGGCTGCCAGCCCCAACAGCGACTGGAGCGCAAGTGAGTCGGATACGCCCATCCTCGAGGACTGCCTCTGAGAGCGTTTTCTGTGTGTCCGTAGTCAGCGCCTGCTCGGGCACAGGCGGCAGCAGTGGACCCACTTCTACGACGACGACCGCTTCGACGACGACGACGACGGCGACGACGGCGACGGCGACTTCCCCACCGACAACAACTTCAACCGCCCCAGGGTCCACTCCCACCGGCGGTAGCTGTGCCGGAATCCCGGCCTGGACTTCCGCCGCTGTGTTTGTCGGCGGCGATCAGGCGACATACGAGTGAGAGAACGCGTATCCTGACTCGGGGGCTGAACTGATCGAGCTCATCCGCAGAGGGGATCTCTGGACAGCCAAGTGGTACGTGCTCATTCGTGCGACAGTGCCAAGGCGCTGACTTGAGCTCAGGTGGACAGAGAATGATATTCCTGGAGGCGAGTACATATACAATACAGATGCGGAGAGGACTGATGCAAAGACAGGTGCTGCTGGTGTCTGGGTAAACGACGGCGCTTGTGCAGCAATGAGCCGAAGATGGTCCAGGTTTTTCCGGAACTAGGCACCCAGATGAGATTATACGAGTGATGCCACTGTTCTTGATGGACCAGTTTGTCGCTTGAAGCCTTCTGATTTAGGGTCCGCGAACGAGTCGCGAGGCCGTTTTCGATGGGAGTCATGAGGTTTTCCCCTTGTTGGTGCAAGATCTGTCGTCGGCGAATTTGGCTCGGCAGTCGCTGTCTGCCCGTCTTTCGCAGCGTCCTTCACCTTTCGTGGTTTCGGTGGAGGCGGTGGACCTGGGTCATACTGTGGGTTGAACGGCGCCCATGTCATCCCGGAAAGCTCGCAGGGACGTCCACGAAAGGTGTGAAAGCTGTACCAACTCGGGTTCACGGTGTGCGGCAATGCAGGCAACATGCCGAAGAATCGCATGAAAAGGACGAGACCCGCGTGCGCATCTATCTTATTCGTAAGCGCGGGGAAGCTGTGGAGCGAGGCCGAGACCCGCCGTTGGCCGCATCTGAGATATGATTAGTAGCTGCATTGGCACACACAGTCAAAGGGCATGCATACATTCTTGTTGTTCAACACTGAGTTGATTACGCTCCCAATTACTGCGAGTGATCTTGCCTTTGACGAGGAGCCGATCCTCGTATGTGGCGATCAGACGAGCCAGACCGATGGGTTGACTGCTAGATCAGACACAAGGACGGAGACAGCTGATGTGAGACGCACGAGTATGATCCCTTCCATCGTGCATTGTCGACCGTTCTCGCCAGGTAGGACAAGTCTACACAGCCCCGAATATCCACCCTGTAGTCTCTGAACATCTTCGTTGCATCTCCTGCCGAGAGCCTGAGCCCGTGGTCAGAATGGTCCGCTTGCGCTCACCTTGGATCCCAACTCCGGCTTTCACGATCAAGGGGTCCTCCAAGAAGGTCTTCAGATTCTTAGGGAACACTGTGAGACAGCATGAGCATTCAGACGGAATAGGAGAGATTTCACGAGCCTCGTATCCGATGGAGGTGAATAAGTAGGATCGAGTCCGCATTGGCCAGTTGCAACAGAGCGACCTAGCGGATGTTCCAGTCTCCACCGCAACTTCGACTGTCTCTGCTGTCACTCACAGGATTTTCAGCACCTCCCTTGACAAATGTCGGTTTCCATTCGATGTCTAGCCCGCAAGGGCCCTGGAATATGGACATTTCGATCTCGGCTTGTGCTGTATCCGTGATATAGACTCGTCGTGGGCACGGGACAGTATTGCGCCATGAGAATTTTATCGTTGGGGGAGGTGGACCAGTAGGTACTGGAACGTCCTTGTCAGGATCGCTCAATGCCGATGCTCGCTCGGCCGCCATGGATAGTCGCAGAGGCGAGACAAGCCTGAAGGGAACTGGGTTGACAGGTGGCTATGCTTGACGTGCCCATCCGATCAATTGGATTCTTGCCCGTCGATTCCAAAAAGAGGCTTGGAGTGTGGTTAGAGATGCCAAGGCTGGGACCCGGCTCTCAGTCGGTCAACTGAGAAGGATCTTACACCGCTCCCATAGATATGAATGACAGAGTGCACACGCGATGTAGATTACACGTCACGAAAGAATTGTTAACGCCAGTCGGTCTCTAAACTCGCCGCCAAAATGACAGCGGCTGCTGCGCCTGGCCCAAGTTCATCTGAAGCCTCTCCCAAGAGTTTTCCGGCCACCGACTGCAGTCACCAGGCCCATCATTTAATCCCAGAACCAAAGCACCGCTAGCGCATTGGTTGATGAAACATTCTCGTACCCGCTGTCGATCCTCGTTCTCAAACAAGGACGAGATGAGAATCTCGACCCGAGAGAGATAGCTGAACGCGGGAAGACGCAAGGTCGCACTAATCTTCTCGACTTTTGCGAAAAAGTGGCACGGACAGCGGAACCGAGAGCGGTACGGCCAACGGAGGAAAGACATTGTCAGCGTCTGGTTGTCGAGCACTCCCGGCGCGACTGTGCCAAGAAGATCGCATAGCGCCATCTCGTCGTGGATGGCCACTTTCAGTGTCGATAGGTTGGTCAGGGGCCCGAGATTGACTGCAGACGCTCAGCGCTCGTTGTAACGTCTCGGCAACATAACAATTCACCAGAGCCACTAGAAGGGCGCAGCATCCAGCGGCGGTCAAATGTTGACCGGTGGTCTTCATAAGCGATGGCAAGTGAAAGATGGCGCAGCTGGGATCCCGTCCGGGCAATTAATTTGTTCAGCGCCTGCACGGGGCCCCATCCGTAATGACTTGGTTGAAGCGAGGTGACATCGAGTGTATGAAGGCCAGAAAGATCGTGCGCCGTGAGGATCCACTTGAAAAACTTGTCTGTTTCGTAACTGGGCAGTCGAACCATCAAAACCTCCAGCTGGGACAGCACACCTGACGTCAGAAGCGGCAGTGACCCTGCATGTGAAATGGCCTTGGCACCACCCTCTTTGGCTCTGGAATACAGGCAGAGCACGCGCAACTTCGGAAGGCGCACGACCATTTCCAACACATCTCCTGAGAACCGATCCAGCGCGTTGTAGACCAGCTCCTCGATCCCACGAAACGTCTCGGCAATCCAGGCCATCTTCAGCGGTTTCATTCGGGCTTCAGTGTGATCCACCAAGATGAGCCGTTGGACCGGTGCCAAGTGAAGCCCATCGAAAACCTTTGCAGCCCAGTCTTCCTCGAGATTGAGCAACAGTCCTCTCACACTCGACACGAATGTGCACAGCTGCGACTGGAGGAGCGCCTGGATCCCGGATACATTGCTGATGAGTCTTCCATCCACCTCATTTCTGAAGTGATGCAGCGCGAGCCGCCCGAACAGATGCCAACGCGATGCTGGAACCCATTGCCGAGACACTAGGCTAGTAGAAAGCAGGCTGGCCCGATCGTCGTGCAGAAAGTCAACGACGAGGTCGACTATTTCGGCCGGAGCACCGCTCGCCCCAGGCATCGATGTGGAAGGAAGAACCACGTTCTTACTTGCGGACCGCAAGACTAACATTCGCGATTGCCGAGATAGAACATGTACGTTCATTTAGGCGTGCGCATGTTGATGCTGATCCGAGCGCCGTTTCTCCTGTCATAGAACAAGGCGAGCAGGAAAGCTGAGCACCTGGGTAGTCATTCACGTTGAGCGGAGGCCATGAACCAGTTCTTGATCGATCATGTCGGGATTAACCGGGAGTGTTGCAGCCGGACCGGACCCTAACCCTACAATAATGCTTACGCCAGTCGTCTTCGGGCGGCCGCATGCGGGCCAAGCTATTTGTCTATTCTTGTCTCTGGCCTTTGACTAATGCCAAGTTGCCTCTGGGCCCTGGAGGTAGTCAATGTGTCCGAGCATCGACTCTGAAGGCAACGCGGACCCCCATCTCAACTTCTCCGTAGCGCGAGAATTGACTGGTCTACTGCACTACATCTTTAGGCTAGAGAACTAGCTAGGGCGGACCCTCGAAGAATGACTGCGCTTGACCTCCAACGCTGCTGCGCGGTCTTCTCATGAGCCCAGATCCCCTCGGCGCTGGAAATATCGCACCACTTGACATTCCCTCCACCACGCTTACGATACCGAATTGCGAAAACCTGACCCACTGTCTTCCCCGGATATATCTTGGCTGAATATCTGGATGAACTCGAAGCTTACAAGTGGCGCCGAATCTATGCAAGTTGCTTGGCTCGTATGTAAAAATATCGTGACCATCAGTAGTCACGTACAGCGCCAAGCCCTTTCTATTCTTGTCCTCTTGGCAAAGCACCTATATAAAAGCGCGTCCTCCGATGTAAAGTCAGTCGTAATCCCCGCGATGCAGCACCTCAACTACTCGGAACCTTCTTCCTCGCGTCATGGCCTGGCTTCGCCGCCTATGGGACATCTGACATCGTCTGCCAACTCACTTCTGAGCCAGGTGCGTTTGCAGTATAGACCGATGGAATTTTGAGCTCAAACATGGACTAGCCTGCCCCGCCAACTCTCCGAGACATACTAGGAGCTTATAAACTCAATGGAGATGGCGACCGAGATATGCTCATAGCCATGCTGAATGCAAAGACTGCCGAAGACCAGGTTAGCTTCTCGCCAAATCTTTGCGCATACAAGTTGCTTACGATTACTAGCGAATCTCTGCTCTCGCTGCACTACATCGGACAATGCTAGACGTGTACCACCTGCCGTCACACAGCAGTCATCGCCACGATTATCCCATGTTCAGTCATCCATCACCTCCGCCGCTCGAGGTCCGATCCTCTCGACCAGCTTACCAACACGTGACACCATATCCTCGGCCCTCGTACCGTGCCTCCAGTCCGAATTCTGACCATCGAAGAAAACGTGCCCGAGCTTCCCGGTCTCCCCCGCCTTCAGTGGCAGACCATCGCCATCCCATGCGGCGGCCAGAACAGGACGAATTTCCCCCCTCGCCGTCTTCTAGCAGCGATTCGGCAGATTATTCGCCACGGTCTCGTGGCTCCATGACGATAACGTCCCTGCTGTCCACGAGTACAAATGCTGATGGGAGTGCCGACGAGCGAGCTTGATTTGTGTATTTCTGGTATGTCAGCCAAGCAGGGCAAGACTTTCTTGGGATTCTTGGCGTGTATAGTATAGCTTGGATGATAATAAACACATGTGTGAAACGTTCTGGCCTGTCGGCTGTCGCTCTGTGCTCTAATTAGCACTACGTCTCTCCTGCGCTAAGATCCAAACCACCGGAGTCAAGCATCTCAACCAGTGTTAGGCAGGTTTCTAATTATAGCCCGTCAATGCCAAGCATTTTGCCCGCTGTTTAGTTGTGTAAATTAAAGCGCGCCTAGAATATCTCGGATTTCTTCCGGGCCATGGAGCATGTGCGGTGACAGGAATCTTATATTGGTCTCCAGAACCAGCTCTTCGGTAGTATCCAGGGTCAGTCTCAGCAACAACTAGAAAACTCATGCACACCCCTTTCGGTTCCATACATGATCGCAAAAGTGGTGGAAGCAGCAGGTTCCGCACGATCAGGTGATCGTGACTGCGTGACTCCATCACACCTTGATCTGTTCCCTCCAACCGCGACATGAGCACCGAACCAGACGAATTCGATCTTATCCCGGACGAGTTTCAAGATGAGCGAATTGATTGGGCTCAACTTCTATCTCAGGGAACTCCCGCTGTTGCTCCCATGCCATCGTCTTCACCCGAATATTACGCAACGTCCTTGGATGATGATGTCCTCGCTGAGCTTGACATTCTAGATGGAACTGGTGAATACATCATTTTCCTAACCAATTACGTGTTCAATAGCTCATGAATACTGGAGCTGCGCGAGCCCAATCCTCGTCAATGCCGTCCTTTGGTCCGGCGGGCTTAACATCGAGTAAATCTAGACCAAGCTTGCATGCACGATCCAATCTTACGTTCCTTGAGATATCAAGTCGAAAACCGCATCTACTCGGAAAGTACTATTTGACTCAAAACGAGTCAATATCTCCGATTCGCCCCGAAAGAAACGAAGGAAATGTTCTCACCCATCAACAAGTCTAATTTCGAGTTTGGAGGACGAGGTCACTTGCGCAATGTACGTGAAATCTGGCTTCAAGCTTCACTCTCTGGAACATATGTTCTTCTAGATGTTGTGATCTACTGTATGCATTTGCCTTGATGTACGGATGTGCATCTCAGTCTCGTCTCCCCGCAGAGTGGCAGCGCAAGTGTTGAATCCGTGTGGGCATACTTTCTGTGGCGAATGCGCATGGGAGTGGGTCATGAAACGGGTCAGTGGTCTGCTCCTGGCTTTCACGCCACTAAACGCTATGCTAGAGCAACGTCCGCTGTCCATTTTGTCGGAAACGTCTGGCAAACAGTCCGATGACTCCGAACATTGCTCTGAACCACGTCGTCGATTTGCATATCCGAATACGAGCCAGTCAGGATGATAGATGGTGCCGCGGAGGCTCTAGACTTCTGGAGTTCCAGGCGCGGCAAAAGTACGTTCAGCTCACCGCGCACGTCTCCTCTATAAACACTATTGCAGACGGTGGCAAGACTCTTGTGCTACTCGTTTGCTGCGGTTAGCCAACATGAGGAATCGCATCGTGGTGGAAGACGGAGAGGAAAGCGGTTATGCTCCGGGAGACGATTTCGAAGACGACGACGACTTTCTCATCGATGGGCTATGACTGGAGCAAGTTGAGCTTCCTCTTCTACTATTACCTAGTACAAGGTCAATCGATCACGTGGCCGTGTGTGTTCGTGATGGCATGGTAGGAAGGCGCGGTGTCCTGCTTGCTTCAGCACTTCTCCCATGCACGCCATCTTCAATCCGGCGCTGGGCGAAATTCGGAAGATACTCGTTCCTCCCGTGAGCGGTCTCAGTTTACGATTCTCCGCGACACTCGAGGACTGTGACGAACCCGTCAAAATTCAACTTTGGTCAGACATCCCGATCGAAGGTCGTTCTTCAGGCGAGTGGGGCGAACACGATTTCGTATTTTCTTCCTCTTCGCGTCCCCATTCCGCCTTACCTGTGTTTTCCTTGGACGACTGCCTCAATCATGACACCACCACCCTCCATTCTCATCTCTTCATACCACTCACACCGAGTCAGGGAGACTGCTCCCGGACCTTCTCATTCACCTATCGTATACTGCACTCCTCTGGGCGTGTAGAATGGTTAGGGGGTTTCGGGCAAAACGGATCCATACGTCTCGAACTCGCGGAGCAGCTTCCTGTCACTTTAGCGGCGGGCTGGAAGTTCGTGAAGGATCGTGGCCATTGGGAGAACAATGAACGCATAACTTCTCAGCCGCTCGAAGTCGCGAGGGTCTGTGAGCCAACGGATCTGTCGCCCTTCGAATTCTCTTATCCCAGGTGAGTAGAAATGGATATTTAAAGCGAAACATGACGACTCGTTTCTCATCGCTGATCCAGCTTTTTCAATACCCAAGGCAGCCCGGTGCTTATCTTGACACCTCGGCAAAGCTCTAAATTTCTTCTCTTCCCTGTGCCGACTGTTCTATTCGCGGCCAGAAGCCCGGCTCGCTTGTGCTGCGATGCCCAGGGTGTCATTTCAGCCAGTGGAACTGGATCATTGCTCCTCCTCGTGTGCTATTCGAAGGAGGACGCGATTTCCGCAATCCGTGCGGTCGCGTCCCACTGTTCCGACCCTGCTCTGAGCATCCTCCCCGGACCGCACCCAGGCTTTGTCACCAGAATGAAGAATTGCTCTGAACTTGTGCTTATCCCGGCCCTGTCTCCTGTCTCCTTGGTACCATTCGAGACTTCCGAGTTCTTCGCTGCATCAGGCGACTGTCTCGGTCTGTTCTCTCCGACTTTACGCGTCGTTCGTTTTGTCGGTCGCTCCGAGACAGAGGTGATGCTGTCGAGCGGATGCTCTGCTGGTCATTTGCTGCTTTTGCCGGGATATCAATTAGGCCAGCCGGGCTGGCAAATTGCTTTCGTCACAACTGTTGTGAAACCTCCACCGAGCCCACCGCCCATGAAGTCTGGTACAGAGTCATTTCTAGCTCTTGCGTTCCGCCCGCGACCCATGTCGTCGATTTGGAGTGCGCTGAGGCGGCACATCCAGACGCTGATCGCCCGCCTATGGGGTCTCTTCTTTCGTAATCGAACACCTGAGGTACAACCTATCGACGAGCGAACTCCCTTACTAGCCGAACGACCTGCATTAGAGCTGCATCTGGACGCAGGCGAGACCAGACTCGTGCTTCACAACAGAAACCCGGACTCGCCTCTACCCCGTTTCGCTATAAATGGCCACGAGCTGTCAGTAGAGGCACAAAAACTGCGCAGGGGATACTTCGTTGCATTCGAAACAAGCGGAGGGAATCTGGAGATTTTCGCGTGATTAGTTGTTGCATTTGGATACAGATCATTACATATTCTACATATCATCATCTGGTTCGTGGCGTTCTCTGCCCGTGAATTTCAGTGTGGCTTGAGCCACCAGATCATCCAACACATCGGAAGGAAGATCGTATTCAGAGCTACGAACAGAGACAGCATACGCAGCTGGAAGAGGTTAGAGAAGTACGACGTGATCTCACGGTGCTATTTACCTGCTTCAATCTTCTCCAGAGAGTTTGTAGTAACGCTCTGCTTCTTACGAAGCTCTCTGACATGTGGTACAAATTGCTCAAAGTCTACTGCTGGTCAGATCTGGACAGCGGCAGTTTTCGAGATGGACTGACCGGCTTTACATCCTCTGACAAACGCACAGACGTCGTTTGCTTTTGCTCTACCGCCGCGACGGGACAAGTTGGAGATCGCGAATCTCATGAGTTCCCCAGTCAGATCTGACAGCCCGAGAACATAATCCGAGGTCGTCAGAGGAAAGAACTACGCATACAGTGAGTGGTCCCATATAAACAAGATCCAAAGACGCACAGGTCCCTCAGAATCGCAAAGAGACGCTTGCACCTGCTCGAAGGTGATCAACGTACGGTGCTCGAGATAATGGGCAAAGCTGAGCGCTTCAATGTATTCCTACAAAAACCTGAGCGCCAGAAGTGAAAGAAGGAGATGTTATAAGTACCTGCAGACCAGGTGACACTTGTCTTTGATGTCGCCAGAAACGATCTCCTGCCAGTTCTGGGCGCATCTGCGCAAAGAGGGCTCGTGCCTCCACCAGCTTCGAGTGCCCGTTTTTTGCTGCGCGACGTGATAGCGCAGCATCATCTTCAGAGGTCTCTTCCAGTACGATTCGAAACAGCAGGAAGATCGCTTTCTTCGATATGTTTGTGACGTCTCGGCTCGCCTGGTAGACATGGGGGCCGTCCAGCACGATTGTTTAAGCGCATCAAAGACCAATGTCACCTTGATCAGACGTTCTCTCCTGTCATTCGCATCGTCTAAATCCCTCCTGAATTCTTCGAAGATGGCGCGTTCGTCAAGCATCGTCACGGTCAGGATTAATAGTGATTGTCCGGTCTTAGATCACATTCATGGACTGATCGATTAGTCAATGCCGGTGACCATCTACTGGTGCTTATGTGGACGTATTTGGCTGATCTCTCTCCCTACTACATACGACCAAGACATTCCACTGGTCGTTTACTTCATCACTCGAGCCAGCGTATCGACATGTTCGAACCGAAACCAGGCTGCCCACTCTGTGGAATTGTTTCCTCCTCTGCCCATGGTCCTGTCAACTCTCCGCGCTCGCCCTCCTTCCCCGTCGGGTCCAGTCAACCAGAAGTGCTCTGGCGTGATGACAACTTTACCGCATATCGCGAGAAATTAAACCCAGTCTCCACCAAGGGTCATGTCATTATTGCGTTCAAGTGCGCTCCATCGTGTTCCTGCGCGTCGACTTACTGACAAGACGCCCAGCCTTCATGTCCCGTCCATCTATACTCTTGTACGTGGACCGCTTATGCTCTTCCTGTTCTGTTCAAGACATCTATCCGTCTCTAGTCTTCCACAGATCTGCCTCTTCTTGTGAATATCAGGAATCTCGCAATTCGGTTATTGACTTCCTTGCTTCCACCCTCTGCGTCGTCTCCTCCTCCACTCAACGCCGCCAATCCCTTGTTTCGGATTGGTTTCATCGCGCCGCCGTTCTCTGACCGCAAGATACCCGTCACAGACCACCTGCATTGTCATGCGTACATAACTCCGGCCGACCAGCTAGGGTGGTGGCGAGGCGTGGCCTACGGACCCATGGCTTGGTATGGCATCGACGATCTGATTGCCGAAATCCGGTGCGCTGAACAGGCGCCTTTCATTCATTTCGGCGCTAACTCCAATGTAGCGAGTCTGTAACGAACAACAGGATCAAGTCTGGCCATGCAAACCGCGCTCAAGCTCCGATAGATATGGTCCCGGACGCAGGCGCGCGTAGCGGGACGGCAAATGGTCTCGAGACGACCGAACCAGGGATTGCGCGGGACTCTGAGGCTGATCTGGAGACTGGGCCGAGAACGCCGTCAGCCCTGAATGGTAGTCCACGGTCGGCCATGCTGTCTCCGCAGGCTGCGATACCCACTATACGCGTTTGATCTCAGCATATCTTCACCATATATCCCGGACTGTGACAGCATTACAATCGCTGAGTTGAATCGCAGTAGTTGGACGATATATATATCCATCATCCTGAAATCAGATCCAGCGCTGGCTATTTCAGTGGCTGGACATGTCGGATCAAAGGCTGCCACTATCATCGTGACCGATTCGTTGTACCCGGCTCGTCACTTGCCGTCATCAGTCCTCCTTGCTGGCCTTTGCTTCCTGCTTATCCAGCTGAACCCAATATCACCATCATGGGGAGGACCTATCGACGATATCTGGCTGGAGAAAGAATCTATGGATGCTCGACGTGTCGCACTCACCTGGCTACCATCCACTCGATGATATCTAGGGTCCGTTAACCCATGAATGGTCGTGGTGCACATCCAATGTCTTCGCAGGCTTTTAATGGTCAACATGGGAGAGCATACCTATTCGAGGTCGTGTATGCACCCGTTCTTCAGTGTTCCCATCTAGGATGCTGCTAATCTGACTTCAATCAGAGTGAACGTCACGGAAGGAGAGCCCAATGATCGTCCAATGACGACAGGAAACCACACTGTTCGGGATATATTCTGTTGCAAGTGTGGGACTACTGTGGGATGGAAATATGCAAGTGCTTTATTGACCCGCCATCGTGCTGCTTCTCGGACTCACTGCTTCGGCTCTTCTCTTCCATCAGGAGAAAGCTTTTGAACAGTCGCAGAAGTACAAGGAGGGAAAGTACATTCTCGAGCGGAATCTCCTCGTGGATGTGCAGTGATCCTATGGCTTGCTCGCCACCTGCGAGTTGTTCCGAGGCTCCTTCCCCACCAATGGACTACGTGACATTGCTTCTCTCCCAACCCCCTGGACTCGTTTTCTGGATGGGTTCTCTCTGACCCCAATGACATCCTCCCCAAGGTGGAGATAGTGCTCTTGTGGGCTTATCTGCGACTCTTGGCGCCATTAGAACACCTAGTGCACGCACATCCTTGACTTCCATCGCGGTAGCCAACTGCTTCGTTCCCGAGGTCGTGTGTCATCTTTGTCGTATTGATTTCGCAATAAACAAAACACATGCATTACATCCCTGGTCCGCTTCGGCGACATGGCTGCCCAGTGGTCCAAGCACATGTACAAGTCGTTCCTGGAGCACGCAGAGAAAAACAAGGTGGTGTATTGAGAATGTTTCGGTCTATGCCAAGTCTGGCTTCATTGCTATCTGCTCCTGTTGGCGACATCCGGTGCGCGATCTCTGCATCTGCGGGAACTTCAGATCCACTGCACAAATTAGTACAGCAGACTCACACCTTGGCTCCCCAGCTAATGGTAATCCCTGGGTTTTGTTATCTGCGCTACGAGTTGCGTCTTTCCGAAGCCTTGACATCATGCGGTCGTCGACTCGGCGCATGCCTCGGATCAAATGGAGCGGCGATGCCGAAAACTTCCGCTCCTTTGGGTCAACGGCGGCCCTGATCGGTCCCCACGGAGGCACAATAACAACACCAAAGTACTTCCCCAAAGTTGTCTACAGCAGCATATAAGTAAACCCCACCGTTGAATGTATAACTCGCATCCGGTAAAGCACCCCGCTTCCTCCCTTCACCCTCACCTCCTCCCCTCCTCCACCACAAGCCCCAGTGCACTCTCGCCATTGTTTCTTGCTCTCGCACAATGTGTAAGTGCTTTTTTCATCTGTTCGCTAAAAAAACCCTGACACATCACTCCAGCTACCATGACCGCATCGCGTCCCTTCCACTCATCCCCTCTCTCTGGACAGGCGTGCTCTCCGTCGCCTTCGGCACGTAGTTCTGCGCGTCCTTTCAACCAGTTCCCCACCTCGCGTGGTCTGCGCCCATTTGCCAACATGCCCGTTGCCCCGGCCAAGGGCAAAAAACCAGTGAAGATGATCCAGCCACCCGCGAATCATCGCATGTCTTTCGTGCTGGATCTCACTCAAGCCGAATTCAGTCGCCAGTGAACGGAGATGTACAGCGCTGTATCTTATCAGCAAGTCTTGGGAGTGTGTTGCATCAGAGAACCATAGAAGACGACGGTTAAGGGAACGCCCGGGTACCGGGACGCAGGGCACGCCCCCGGCTTCTCGTCACCGTGCATTTTTGGGGACCAGCTGGATTATTTTGATGCTCGATGTTTGCGGGCTCGCAGTTTGGCGGGCAGCCGTTGGTGGGCGACATGCCCGTCTTCGTAGGATGAAGCCTCTGTCTCCTCACCGCGACATGCCGCTTCGTGTACATATTATACTGGACAACGCGGCAGAAATGATTAAATTTATAATTTGTACCACGCGGCTCGCCTTGCCTTGCAGCAAGCGCATTCGGAATGAGCGCCTATTGAGCGCCTTCGGCCCTGCGTCAGAGACGTGGTCATCGCTTCTTGTGGACACCGCCATCAGCCGGTGGCTGTAACTGTCCCACGCTGTTGCGGAGAGTCACGGCGGCGTTAATTAGCATTGGCTGGAGACAGCCTGAGATTTCGAGGGAAGAAACACAACAGGGACGTCGATGATGATGAATGCGAGGGGAGAACACGTCAGCTCACCCCGGATTCGCTCGGGACGTAACTTGACATTGCAGAGGCTCGCTCTTAGGCTGGCCCAGCTCAGGTACGGATCGTCGGCCGCTCGGTTCTGCTGTCAGCTCAGGTACCAACAGCGCGCGGCCGTTTGTAGGCGGTGTGCGTGGCTCTGGCCTCTCTGCGTTGTGTGGAATTCCTAGTGGAAGACATCCGTCGGTTTGTTCAGGCATAACAGGGCATAACCGCATTTCCGATCACTTCTGCATTCCTGGTTTATCCGAACGCGTGAACATAAACCTTAAGAGCAGCAGCGAGAGCAGAGCAGTCCAAAGGGGGGACCAAGGATCCCGTGCTGCCACCATAAGCATATATGTAGCAGCGCTCGCAATGAATCAGCATTTGGCTCGAGTGGGAGTCACTGTCCACTACAAAGCAATCTGAGCCTTGGGCTCTTCACATGCTGATGCTTACGTAACAAACAACAACCCACTACTCTGAAATTCCCTTAGCTTCCACCACACCGCCCAGCCGCACGTCCCGTCCCGTGTCTCTTTACGACCCCCTACGAACCGAACGACATCATCTCCGTTTCCTTGTCCGTGGACTCGACCTTATTTGTCTCCTATCTCAGCGTCACCTGTGAAGCCGCTTCCCCACCACTCACGTTCAGCATCCTGCGGCCTTCGAGCCCAGCACTCCCGAGTTTGCAAGCAAAATGGATCAGTGGACCGTCGCCGTCCTCGGGGATGGTGGTGTAGGTAAAACCGCGCTAGCCGTGCAGGTGAGTGCACAGTCGGCTTGATCGCGTTATCCCGGGATTGACTGTGGGTCACTAGTTCACACTTAACTGTTTTGTCGGTGAGTTCCTACCATTTCTACCGAATGAGACTACCCGCTGACGATGGGAACCGTATTCTCGCAGAGGTACCATCGTTCGATACCCATTATCGCATCATCAGCCGCTAAACAGCCCCTGCCATAGACTTACGATCCAACGATAGAAGATGCTTACCGTAAACAATTCGTCGTCGACAACCGCATGTGTTTTGTGGAGGTGATTGACACTGCAGGGCAGGGTATGTGGCTCAGGTCTCGATGTGCTAGCCCAATACTAACCCGATTTGTCACAGAGGAGTATGCGACACTTCGAGATCAATGGGTCCGGTACGAGCGACTTCTCTATCACGATGAGATGTGTATTCAAATTCTCGTTACTACAGAGAAGGCCAAGGATTCATTCTGGTGTATTCGATCGCTTCTCGCTCAACCTTCAACCGGCTCGAGGTCTTCCGTCAATCGGTGCGGAGGGCAAAGCGTGGAGACCCGATCTTGTTGCTTGTGGGCAACAAATGTGACAAGACGTATGAGCGCGAAGTGACGAAAGAGGAGGGAGCCGCCCTGGCCCGGCAATTCGGCTGCGAATTCATCGAGACTTCAGCGAAGACGGCACAAAACGTCGAGCGCGTCTTCACCAGTCTTGTGCGCTCTCTCCGACAAACAAGAAATGTGGAACCTGGTGTAGCACCAACCCCTGGCAGACCGAAGGAAAAGAAGGAAAGGAAGTGCATCATCTTCTAAGGATTTTTTTCTGGGATCGTCGTGTCTACTTAGATTGCTCCTTCCTTTTACCTCCTTCGATGATACCAGTCTTTCCTTGTTTTTGGCTACGCACTCCTCTGCTCTGCATCTCCATCACCTGTTGTTTCGATACACACCCTGTTACACACTGCTTTATCGTGACTTGTACGTCGTACGTGGCTGACACCTCTCAAGTCAGAATGATGTGGCCGTCCCACTACCTTCTCCCTTGGAAACGTCTGGCCTGGGTTTCACGATTGCTTCCAACCCCCCCCCATGTCTCAAACCTCAAATGAGCTCGCTGGTGATGTAATGAGACTGTGCGACGACGCGGACTTTCTGGTTCGCTCTTCTGTCGATGGTTCGACGTTCGCGGTCAGCCGGCACAGAATGTCTGCTGGCTCACATGTATTCAGTCCGTGCTCTCGCTTCCGATAGTTCGGCAGGCTCATAAGGCTTCTGCCACGCAGGCGACATGTTCACATGCTGCGACTCGGTCTCCTCTCAACACAGATCACACACTCTCGATCTCGACGAATCTCAGGGTTCGCTGACGTCCCTGCTTCGTCTGATCCACTCTCCGCCGTCCCCGCCGACTCAATTCATCCGCAAGCCGCGAGAGGAGAAGGTCAAGACACATCTGCCCGTCCGCTTCGACCTGTCTACAGCAATCCCGTTGCCCATCCTGCGGCTTCTGCTACAACTGGCCGACAAGTATGCGCTGTCAGATCCGGAGTCCCTCAAAGCGTTACGGGAACACCTCTTGGCCTATGCTCCCACCGATGGGCTGGAAGTCTACGGTCTGGGCTTGCGATACTTGGATCTCATCGGAGAGCATGTTGTCAACGAGGCCAGCCAGTATATTTTCCCTCTGCCGACCTACTCTCTGGACCAGATTCAAGTGGTTCCCTCCGTTCATGACCATCATCGCATTCTAAGGCTTCAGAACTTCCGCGCTAAGGCCTTGCAGAAGATCGTAGTCGAAGAAGACTTGTTCCCGCATGGTGAGCAGCCCGACTTAGCACTGCCGCATAGTCTCATCTGCCTTCTCGGTCAGGTTATGGAACGTGCGATACGCACAAGGACCACGCTCTCTCGGAATGGGATCGCGCTTGCTTGGTTCTCGCTCGGAAAGTCGAATCCAGTGAGCAGCGTGCACTCCGCTCGGCTCGCTCGCTTTCTGACACGTTCCAGATACCGATGTAGCGGGCGAAATCGCCGAAAACCTGCTGGACGTCAAGCCCTTCGACCAATGCGGGATCTGCAAGAAGGCCTTGACTGCGGTCGTCGACCTGCTGGCATACAAGTGTCGGAGACTGCCCAGACGGTTGAACGAGATGTCAGCAGACGTATCGGTTCCGCAGACATAAGTCCCAGTTTATCTGATTAGAACGTCTATAGTGCGAGGGTATCGTAAATGCATTATTGATTATGCCAGAGAAGAGTCTTGAGGTTCTTCCATCGCTCGCTGTCCCGATACAAGTAGGTCATCGAGTTGAAGAGACCAGGTTGAATCGTTTGCCCTCGCTCCTCGAATAGCCACATGATGCTTCCCCAAGCAAGGGCAGCCAGGACAGTGAAGTATCGCGAATCTGGAGGTACGGGCCGAACAGAGTCTCGGGACACGGGAGGAGCAGAGGTCGCGGAAGAGATCCGAGGCAGGAACGACGTGATCACGCGCGACACAACGTAGAGGACGATCTACACGTCGTGAGCTGAACGCTCGCATGGTCATGGGTCCACATACTTGTTCGTTCACCGCTGTCCTTTCTCCGAACACGATATATCCACCCAAGAGGCCAGCCAGGAATGTATCCGAGCTCCGCGGTTTCCCACCGTTTGCCTTGTTCTGAACGAGCATGAAGACTTTGTAGAGCGTCACGAATTTAGCAAGATTGAACGCATGTTGTTTCGTGGCGCGGAAGATGTGAGTGGCACGGGATCTCCAGCTTCAAGATCTCGGTTCAGTTATCGAGGCAGAAGCGGGATGAATGGTCTCGAACGTACTCGCCGCGACCAAATAGTATAGCCATCACAAGCGCATGAGGAAATCGAACTTTGGCGCCATAAACGAAGCCATTGCGGGCGCCCTTGATGATGGCAAGGTACGGCTGGAAACCGGGGTTGGAGAGAATGGAGTCGAGGGCAGACGTATCCATCTATGAGGCGCGAATAAACCCGTCGTGGTTGTGGTCGAAGCTGGACTCGGCCCGAGCGTGGCCGCACTAGCTCATATGCATTTATCACATGCTTGCGAACATTTGAAAATCATGTACGGAAAAACTATAATACTAGGCGAGGAAAGTTGGCTTTAGATTGAAACTCGTCATTCATCGAGAACGTGCTAGCGGTCAACCATTCGAGCTGGATCTCCATCAGCAAACAATCGAACGAATGACAGTAAACTTGCCCCTTCTTTGTTGGCTTCGCTGGGCGCGTCTGTTTCCGCCTGGATGACAACAAATCTTCGGTAACGCCGCATTATGCTGGGCTGGATCTGTATCCGAGAGAGATCGTCGGATATTTCTGTCTCAATTGAACCCAGCCGTTCGTCTTGGGTCACGTTCAAGTATTTGGCACTGAACACATTCATGCAGTATTCAAGAAAGTCTCTGGGCTCAGTAGGTCGCGCAAGCCAGGTCTCTCGAACCCAGTCGTTGGCTTCTTCGTTCGGAGGCGGAGCCTGGAATACGGACACGTGGCCATTGCCGATAGCTTTCAGTAGCGTTTCGAAGACAAAGGTGCCTCTGGACAGGACTCGTGATTAGTGTGAAAGAGAGAAGCGCAAGACCCACGAATCGAGAGCAGCGAGAGGATCGCTTTGCGGATCCCAAAGCTTTGCGGCCATTCCCAAAACAGAGGGGAGGATGTAACAGGTCCATAGTGGATGTTTAGCTATCAGAAGCATTCGGGTCACAGTCCCCCACGGATCCTCGCAGAGAGATCCAGGGGTGAAGGTCACTACCCCGCCTGCAACAAGTTTAAATTCCTGTTGGATCAAAGCACAGCAGAGAAACCGACCGAGCGGGTATATTTCATGCACACCCCAGTTGTAGCGCGGCACTGTCTCATGCATTCCAAAGGTATAGAAATGAACGCCACAACTTTTGCTTCGCTTTTCCGCGATGCCCGGGAGCTTGCGGATAGTGGCTAGTGCCTTGACATGGACAAAAACGACTCGAGATTCCTTTTTGAACCCTACTCGCTGTGCCTTGCACTGATCGAGAATCTCGACGAGATATTCTGTTTGACGATGAACGTGATAATCCGGTGCCGACGTCGCTGGTGCCTGCGGATCGAAGGGAGGCCAGATCGCGTAATCGCGATGTGGTTTTTTCATCCACTGATAGAGGCCGGCAGGAAAGTCAAGGATTCGTAATCCGAGATCGTACTTGCTCGGGCGGTGGTTCCTCGAAAGCGAGTTGTTTGCACCGATCATCCCTGTGCCTGGAATCAAGATGGCAATGAACAGACTGGCAGGCATATCCAGAGGAGGTCGGGGAAACGACGGCGGCGTCCTAAATGCCGTGGGAATCAACAGCAGGCACCGAGTGCCCTCCTTGACTGGAATCAATGCGCCCTGGAGATTATGAATGAACCGCCAGACACAGATGGAACACACAAACCTGTCTTTTCTTGATCAAGTACTTTTCAATGTGACGCAACTCGATGCCGTCTGACTCTGAGGGTGAGTTGAGACGACTCAGCTGGAACTCCGTTCGACAAGTTTTGAGGTAATGGGCAATGTCCGCTACATCAAAAAACCCCGAGAGCTCGAGCTGGTCAACTGATCCCAATGCATCACTGAAAGTCAGCGTTGGAGCTTTGGCTTGGCCCAGAGGTAGAAACGTGTCTTCAAGTAGGATTTCTAAAGCCTCTGCAGCCGGAGAAATGAGCTTTCCGGCCCAACGGAATCGCTTCTGTATCCTACAAAGTACAAAGAGAGGTGAGACTAGCTTCACGGCTGGGATGGATCAAACCTCTCTACGGGTATCCGGGCCTTAGCAGCCAGTCTAGGGTCTACCGTTCTATACGCACTTGAGGATTATCTATGTCAATCTGAGCAACAAAAGCAAACAAGGTTGACCTCACGCAGTAGGAGCAGCTGGAGGCGGCCTACGCTAGTCAGGCTTGCATCGAAACATAAACATGCGCACGTACTTTGGTTGCGGTAAAGTGATGTTTTTAAGAAAGTCTTCTACATCCCTCACGTTTGTTGTGGGAGCGCCTAGTCGCCGGGAAACTCTGAGGGATTTGAGAGGGGCAATCAACTGGAAATCAGGACTGACGATGGAGCCAATTCTATCTCCTGTTGTGGAACAGCATCCAGCGTAGCGGACGTTGGTACATCGGGCGACGGATCAATTTGCATCCCCATATCGTCTGCATCATCGAAAATCGGGTCCGGAGCAGGCTTGGGCCGCTTGGGCAGTGCAAGCCTTGCTGGTGCTGATGAGCTGCTGCTTGCAGCAGGCATGTTGCTGCTACTCGCATCGTCAGATATCTTTGGATATTTTTTGATCTTCATGTGGGAGAGATTCGGGGCAATCCGACGGGGAATGTCGGTAGAATTGGCCTTCTCCAGAGCCAGAGCAGCTTGACCAAGTCTCATCTTGGTGCTGATCCCGACTTGCGGCATTAAAGACGATACAGCGGGTGGATTTGACGAAGCCGTGGCCCGAGAAGGGAGGGGGGGCCTTGATGTCTTCAAGGTAGTCGCCCCAGGAATTACAGTAGTTTTGCTTGAGGATGGAAATCGCGAGGCTGTCGGAGCAGTTGCTGGCTTAGAGAGAACGGGCAATGATGTCGGTTTTTCTGCCTGTTTGAGGGTTGAAGCCATAGTTTGGGGCGGTGGGATTGGGCTTTTCGCTTTGGCAATCTGATCGCTGAGACTGATCTGAGGAGAACCCGGCGGGCTGGGTGGGAACAGTTCTGCGGCCGCTGCCGCTGCCGCAGCATTGATTGGAGAGGCAATTCTCTGTACGACGCTAAAGAGAGAGCTCTCGAGATGTTCCGCGACATACCGGAGTTTTGCTGGTATCGTCCCGTTTTGCGGCTGAAGTGCTTGCGTTGGATTTCGCGCCCTGTAGGACATGGAGGGTGAGAAGCAATCCGACAGAGATCCGCAAGATCTGCAGCCACACCTTGTCCGAATCTTGTCTTCCTTTCCCTTTCCCTTTGTTCGAAGTTTCCTGAGTGAAATTCTCAGAATTAAGAGATCATAGTCCAATGTATGAACGGACTGGTTGAGACTTTTGGAATCGGGACAAAGGTACTTCTTCCTCCGACTCCGTTTCAGAAGAGGATTCCTGCATTTTCGTCTTTTTCTTGGGTGGTGCCGCAACTGTCTTCGATGCAGCTTTGCTCTTTATGGGAGGCCGGGAGACAGATGCCGCAGATACGCTCCGTGAGGAGGATCCATTTCGCTTGCGCTCTGTCTTTGCCTAAAAATATGCATTAAGATAACACTCAAGAAAGATGTTTACGAGGCTCACCGCTTTCAGTGCCGCGATCTTTGCCTCCTTCCTTCGCTCAGCTCTTTCCTGCTGTCTCCGAGCTTCCTCCTTCTCTTTCGCTAATTCATCTTTCGCCCGTTTACGCTCCTTCCCTGCCTTGGTCAGCATCTGAGAGCCGGTTTGAGCAGTTGTCGACGTACTGATCCACGCCGGTTTCGCCTCGACCTCATAACCCACGGGATAGTCATTGTCATCTGTCCCGACGTTGCTCCAGAAGCTCGTAAGGAGTCTTTGGCATGCTGCGACATTCTCGGCAGGCTCCCATCTGGCGCATCCTGAGTTCAGTATGAGTTCAGGCGAGGGTGGATTACGCACGAATCTTCGTCTTCGTCATAGCCCACCCACTGCAAAGATAGTCATCACAATCATCTGTAGAGTCAAGTTTCCAAGAACCTTCACGTAGTATTCCTGCAGAAGACATTAGGTACGTGATACATGTCCAGCGTACAACCCTACCCAATTGCCTTGCCTGTGTGGTGAATCAGGTCCGGGATTCACGACTCGAGCTTTCGTTATAACCTCCACAACATAGCCCTCCTCCTCTTCCTCCTCCGATTCATCTCGTTTCCGTTTGGTGTCTTTCGCCATGTTGCTCTGTGTTATTTGATAAGATTTAGATTTGAGAAGCAGGCGCTGATACGTGACACACACCATCTCGTCACGGCTCAGCTCAGACTCTCAGGAAGACTTCCAACATGTCGAAGGCAAAATCCAAACAAGAAGAGGCTCTGGCATTTCTTGACGACCTCGATAACTTTGCACCTCCATCGTCCGACTCTCGCGGGGCCCCTGCCGTCGGTACAACTCAACCTAGCGCGCAGGGTGGTGAAGCCGAGGTTCTAGCATTCATCGACGAAATCACGCAGAAGAGCGCTGAACCGACTCCCCGCACTCAAGTCGAAAGGCCCGCTTCCCGTTCAGGAACTCCGACTCTGCGAAAGAGTACAGAGCGAGTCAAGTTGGGTGGCGGCACTCCCGCTTCTCTCTTGAGGACGCCCTCGAGCTCATCGTTACGGAAAGACGTCACCAGCGCTCCTGTACCCGCCGCTGCTCCAGTTTCTAATGCTGCAGGTTCCGCCTCTAGTGCTGCTGCGAGTGGGTGGGGGTGGGGGTCCGTATGGAACAGCGCCTCGGCTGCGATCGCGCAAGCCAAATCCGCCGTCGATGAGCAGGTTAAGCACCTTCCGAATAACGAACAAGCGCGTAAATGGGGTGAGGGGGTGATCGAGTACGCGAAGACCGCCCAGCTAGATAAAATCAGTCAGTGAGATCTACCGTCTGGACGCCAATTGACCCGCAAATCAGGTCAAGACTTCAAGCGAGTCGGATTGTCGACGCTCACTGATATACTCAACGTTGTTGCCCCTCCGATCTCTGAGCACGAAGTGAGATTACATCTCCCAGTGGTCCTCTACTCCAGTTCGCTCATCCGAACCATTCATCAGGTCATTCAAGTCTGGCTGAGTCACGACATGCGTGGTCATGAGGGTATTGAATCTCTTGTCTACCGTGCCCTTGCGAGAGTGGGTTCTTCATTTGATATTGCACGCTCAGTCTCAATGCTTCATGCAGATTATGGAACAAGTAGAAGGAGGTGACCTGATCGTAAATCGCGGTGATGAATCGAAACCCAAGGAAAACGCCGCCCCTGGGAGAGATTTGAATCCGGTGGACGGACTTGAAGCGGCTGTGAAACTTGCCCAGGTAAGCTGTCATAGTTGTTCCTTTTCAGTTGACCACAACATATGCAGGCCAATCTCGATGAATTGTTCAAGGCAAACGTCCCGATCCACACGGCGCAAACTGCCCAATCATCTGTCCAGACTCCGACGACTTATTCACATGTTTATCTCCGGATCCAACCCTTCTTCGCTTTGTCCTCTCTCAATTCGAATTCTCAATCCCAGCAACTACATTTCCTTATCCATCTCAGTGACCCGGCCCATTCACTATCACACAGCACTGTAACACAGTGTATTCCGGGATCCTGGCTTTCAGATACGATGTGGGATCGTTATGACTGGGTGGAGGATCTCGTCGCTGAAGCGCTGCGGGTTGGTGTGGAGGTCATCGGGCAAGAATATATCGTGAGTCGAATGGGATGGGGGGATGCTAAGATTCCAGTGGACAGCATGGGTGTCGAGAAAGTAGAAGAGGTTAATGGCGAGCCAGGCGAACTCGTCGAGAAACCCCAAGTTGGTGAAGCTTCATGAAACGTTTCTACGTGCCTCCGCTCTTTCTGTATAACACGCACTCTACACATGGATTCTTTGGCTACGCGTAACTAATCAGCTCTTCAAGGCTTCTTGGCTTCCGGTTCGGCTGGAGGAGGAAGAGGCTTCAACTGGTCTGGCCGCGGAGCAGTGGTTCCGTCTCCAACTTGTTCCCAGGGAGACAGAGATTCAAAATTGCTGTGAGAGTGGAGTTGTCAGCAGCAAACGGGTAAGGCGACCATCAATATAAACGAACCGGAATGCTTGGGTCAGTTGCAGAGGTTCATAGACGACGCGCTTGCGCTCTTCGTCATACCGAAGCTCGGTGTACCCCTGCCGCACGTTTAGAGACGTAGAAACAATCACTACGAAACGTACGGTGAGAGGGAAATCTTTGCGGAGGGGGTGGCCCTCGAAGCCTTGGTGGAATCAGTATTTGAAGAACATGATGCTTAGAAGGACGTACCGTAGTCGGTCAAAATACGGCGACTGTAATGCCAGTGACGACGATGGTCAGTTGAGAACAGAAGAGGATTTTGAAACAGCGCACAGATCAGGATGGCCACTGAAGAATACGCCGTACATGTCCCAAACTTCTCTCTCGTACCTGAGAGTCGATTTGCACAGGCAATAAGAAAAGCGGCGAGATACGTACCAATCTGCGCTCCGGAAAACGTTCGCTGCACTAGGTACATGATCTCCTTCGCCGGCATAGGTCTTGACCCTGATCCTTCCTTGCTGCGAGGTGCTAAGCAGATGATATACGACCTCGAATCGCTTGTCGCGCTCCGGGAAGTCCGCCGCCGTCACCTGCATGAGGTACTTGAACTGGCAGCGCGAGTGATCCCGAAGGAATGTGAGCAAAGGAACGATGGCAGAAGCCGGTGCATAGAGAGTGAGCTCGTCACGAGAGACGGAGAACTGCTGGATGAATTTGGGCATGCATTGAGTGAGGTATGATCCGTAGGTGTGAAGCTCGGAGGTCGCCTGCGCGTATTTTTCCAGGGTAGGGTTAGGAGACGTCGACTCTACAAAGGGGGAAGTGGATGCAAGAGCTCTCGAGGAGTTGTGCAGGGCCCGTGAGCGTACAGCTACAAGCTGCCTTGCGAGCACCTGGCCGATACGAAGAGACATGGTTTGGTAGCACAGCCACTCGTTCGCGATGTACAAACTTGTTGCTCAGGACCATGACTGAACTCCTCGATTCTCTTCCGTACTATGACAACGACGTAGAACGATATCCTGGGCTGAAAGAAAAAGTTGATCGTGAACTGGCGCGTCAACCAAAGCCGCCAACGGAATTACATCCACGCGTCCCGCCAGAATACAAACTGTTCGCCGTCAGTAAGAGCTCTATTCTCGAATCCTGGCTGATTTTTCTGCCCTCGTAGAAACATCCTTTACTCCAAGCGGAGCTCGAGCGCGTTGAGGCACATCAAGAATTTCCTCGACTCGATGCGCTCCGTTACCAGCTGCCTGCGCCGTCAGCTCCAGGGACAGATGAAGAATGGCAGGCGGCGCTCGACAATGCGAATGCTCAATTGGAGCATCAGCGAATGCGGTCAGTCTGAACAAACGCTCGCACAGTGCCGTCTCTTATTTCCCAAAGACAAACGAATCTGACGTTACTCCAAACGTATGGGTCTAATGCATGGAGAATTCATAATTATCTCCTCGAGTCGACGGTAAAACAGACGGAGCAGGCGCTTGAGGACTTGAAGCTACTAACCGTGGACGTAAATCGGGAGCGTAAAAACACGCAGACCAAACTCGGCGCACAGTTGACCAGCCTCGAAACAAGATGGACAGAGCTGATTTCGAATGTCCTTCAGATTGAACTGGCTAATGTAGCACTGGATGCGGAAGTGAACGCATTGAATGCTCGAGAATCGGAGTTGGCAGAGTTGACGAAGTAGGGTAGACGAACATTATCTCGAGTGTATGCACGACTTGTATCAGGGTGTGGTTCAAGACCAACCCAAATTTATATACGCTTGTGTTTGGCAACCTCCGTTGCAGCACCTTCCAGTGTCGCTACTCATAACCCGCAGTTTCCCAGCGCAAGCCGCCTCAGGCTAGGTCTTACCTTCCTATGGCGTACTATTCTTCTTTCACTGAATTACATGCATGTAAAAGGTCTCAAAAGCATTCTACTTCGTGAAAATTTCCATTGGAACTGTCTCTATATCTGGTCTATGGCCGATGAAGACGCCACGAGCTCGAACATCCTACCTCAACTGAACGACGCACCCGAGAGCGCCTCGACTGTAGCGCCGTCTGCGACAGCCTCCGAATCGATAGCCGCGTCAGCCTCCGCACCGGCTATCCGTCCATCACTCGTCCCCCTCGGCGGTTCCAGTTCGCAGACGGCCGCGACACCACCTACGAAAAAATTCAGCTCAGTGAACATCAACAAGAAGTTTCTGGAGAAGAACTCTTCCAGTTCCTCAGCGTCGGGTGCATCGCATACCGCAGCCAGCAACGCTAGTTCAGGCGTGGGGAGCAAAGGGGGGAAATCTATTAGTGTTGCCACACGTATGTCCCTTCTATGCACCTCGCTGCGTTATCATAATCATCGTTCGTTTCTCGACTAGCACGTCCTCAAGTTCCTGCTTCAACTTCACATTCGCGTCTAGTGACCACCAAGCTCACTGTCGCGCCATCATCACAATCCCTCGCTCCGCCAAGCGCCGGCTCGGGCTGGTCACGCTCTCCATCTGCGACACCTGCACCTGTCGCCCAATCCAATGGACCTGTGGACTTCAAGAACGCGCAACTACGACGAGGCGATTCCCTGAATAATGTTGGCCCTGGTGGAAGCGCAGGACCCAATGGACGCGCTGCTTGGGGGAATCCCAAAACTGGGATGAGGCATCCTGACATGGCATCGCAAACCGACTTTCCGACTGCCGCAGAAGGTGCGTGATGTGTTCTCGACCCATTGTCCCCTCACCGATGGATCGCAGCTGCCGTGCCTCGTTCAACGAAGCCATCTCTCTTGGATCGCAATGCTGCAGCGGCTGCAGCGAAGGAGGCGGCAGCAGTCGAAATGGCTCACAAACTCGCACGCATGGAAGAGGCGGACACATTTCGTGGGGTGCATCTGGATCCGAATGCTCATCATTGGGATGATGTGCGTTCAACCACATTGCGATTGATCCACATTCTGACGTTGACTTGACTAGATGGAAGAGGACGACGATAACTTTCTCGATGGCGTTCTCGAGTTCGGTGACGGTCGACAGTACAAAATTGAACCAACCCCAACTACTGCTGAAATGGAAATTCCTCCACCTCCGCCAGCTGCATCGTTGACATTTCCACCATCTCCTCCTCCTCCAACTTCTGCAAAACTAGAAACTGTCGCCAGGCCTGACTCGCGGTCAACACGTTTCACCGATGATGATGATTTCGATCGCTCGTGGCCCCGGTCAAAGCGAGCTTCGCCTGCTGTCTCGACGGGTGATCTCCCCATAGCAGCTGTCGGACCCAGCCAAATCTCACCAGCTGTGTCGTTCAATGAAGGTCGAAGCGGAATGCTTTTCAACGAACGGTCAAACAAATTCGAGCCAGTGAACCGTGGACCGCCAGGCCAAAAACGCGGCGAAGGGGTTTCCCCCACGGAGTCTAGGCCCGGCCGTGACTACGGATTGTCTAGGGCTGAAAGTGACCGTGTCCAGGTACTGCAGAACAATCGAGGTCGTCCCACTTCGTTCCAAGGGAGCAGGCCCCCTTCCGTTGCACCGCCACCTAATGCATGGTCACGTAGACCAGAGCCCGAATCTCGAGGACGTAGACTGTCCAATATGGGGCCACCCCCAGTGCCCAACTCTGTCGGGAGACAGCTTCCACCACATCTAAGTCCCAATCCTGTTGCTGAGCCGGAAAGAGCCCCTCTGAGGAGGCCCTCGACGTCACGCGACAGTCGGAAGACTCCGGCGTCGTCTGTGGCACCGTCTCCAGTCATTGCTACGGTATCATTAGCGGAACACCCTCTGAGTGGTGCCGACCTCGATGAGGCGCGTAAAGATGTCATGCAGTCGGCTGCAGCAAGGGCCAAAGCGCGCCGGCAGCAAGAAGAACTTGAGCGCGAACAAGAGCGCGAACGAGCAAGGAGGAAGGCAGCTGAGCTCGAGGAGAGGATGAAGGTTCTGGAGGAGAAGAACAAACCACTGTCGCCTGTGATTTCCTTGGAATCTGTGAGTTCAACACTGCTGGTAGTCTTGATCTCTTACCAATCTGTGCTTGTAGGAAGCTGTCAGTCTGATTGAGGCCGCGATCAAAGATGTCAAGCCTCCCGCGCTGCAATCCGCACCTCAACCTTCAGATGTTTCTGTTTCGCAGCCTGAGCTGTCGTGGAGAAACAAAACGGTGCCGCCACCCCCCAAGATATCCGCCCGTCCTTCATTCGTTTCGACACCGACGGCCTTGGAACAGGTCGAGTCGCTCGTGAAAGATACAGAAGAACTGGAGGTTGTGGACTTTGCTGAATTGGGAAAGTTCATGGGTGTCGGTCCAGTGGACACATCGACCATCACTCCGCTACCATTGACTCCTGGTCCTCCCTCGCTCAGTCGGCCAGGTCGGCCGGTTGCAAGCGACTTTTTCGACGATCGGCCTGCTCGGACGTTTGAGCTGAATGCCGGAGCACCGACAGATAGAACCAGCGGACCCACCTGGAGGCGACGGAATCCGGACGATGCAGTCATCGATCAGAGCAAAGACCGACCGGCAAAAGATGTCCCTGAGCCGGTCGAATTAGCCGGACATTCCTCTCCATACCTGGCTCGTGCCGTCCGGGCCCCAGGCTCCTTCAAGGAGGCGCCTATGACCGCGTTGGATGAGTTCATGTCGCGCGTGAAAGGCGCCATCGAACAGAACAGCGTCAGCGAGCGGGAAGTTCGACCTGCGGAGCCGCTCGCACCGGCACGTCCAGTCGCCCAGCTGGACCGATGGGCACCACCGCCACGTGAGGAGATCACCACCGCATGCGAGCCTCCCAGCTCCAAGTCTGTCTGGAACACGTTTACTGTCCGCTTACCCAAGGTTTCACGGGTGCTGGGCAAAGACGTCCATGTACCAAAGCGACAGGAATTCGTGCGCTGGGACATTCTTTCGTTTGATCCGCCGGTGGAGGGAATGACTCGCCGCGATTTCACTGTCAACAGCGTCTTGTTCAGACATCCAGGCAAATGGAAGCCCAAGATCAGAGTGGTGTTGCCGCGGCCTCGGTCCAATGGCCCGCGCGTTAATATCCCTGCCCAGCCCAAGAGCGCTGGGTCCGGGCTGTATGTTCGGCCGTCCGTTGCAGACAACTTGCCCAACTGGCGCAAACCGCAACCAGAGCAGCCAGAAGCAGGCCTGAATCCAGTCAGCCGGTCGCCACCCCCCCAAATGCCCTCAGATCCGACCGCGACTTTCACACCCAAAAGCGATGGACCAGATGCATTTGGCCCGGCTCGGCCGCGCTCACGGCCGAAAATGCCACCGGGCTCTTCTGTTGCGTTTTACCGAGAGTCGACGGCTGAGGGATCGGAGGCCGCTCCTGTGAGTTTCATCGTGCACAGTGAGCTGGAGAGTCTGGAAAAGGAGTCCGGTGAACCGGTATGTTAGTTTCTTGTATCCGACCATCTACTCTCATATCCTCAGATTGCCCCTTCTTGGACGCTGACTGTGCCAACCAAGGAAGCGGTTCCAGGGCCCGACAGGGAACTGCTCAAGGCTGTGTGGTCGTCCAACATGCCTGGAATTCACACAGTCAACTCTCTGGAAGCCATCGCAGACGATCTCGGCGCCATCCCCTTCACGCTGCAAGATGTGAAATCAGAAGACGGTGGCACACCCCCACCCACCGCCGTCACTCCAGCCCCGTCACGAATCACGCTCACAGATGTCACACGCGCATTCCAGGTCCCGACGTCGTCCCCTGCACAGCCCCAACGGCCATCCATTTCCCCTCCGTCGACGACAGCGCCCGTCGCCCGTCCTCCAGCGTATTCCCCGTACGCAATGCCTCCAAACCCGATGATGCGGCCGGTGCCGAACTATGGCTATCCACCGATGATGGGATCACCGATGATGGGATCGCCGATGATGTCACCCATGGGCATGTACCCGATGCCCCAGAACCCGAATGCGATGCCCCAGAACCCGATGGCGCCAAGTCCCGGGCCTGGGCGGATGCCTATGAACGGTGCCATCTACAGCGCACCTGTGTGGATGGGACCGCAGATGCGTGCTGGACCATATCCCCCGTACATGCCATATCCCTCGCTCGGGCCACAGCCCACCGCATCCCCGGCGAACGCCGGTCGGGGGCGACCACCGATGAGCCCCGTCTCGCCATTCCCAGCCAGCCCGATCCTCATGCACGCCCCGGTGGGTGGGTATATGCCCGGTCAGAACGGACATCCCCCAATGCCGCCCAATGGGATGCCCAACGGCCACGCGTACAACCCGCCTCCCTCAAATTCGTTCGCACGCCCCCCTTGGTGAATTAGCATTATTCTCTTTTTCTTCTTTCGTGTGTATATATCAGATTTTGCAACATTTCCGTTGATTCACAAGACATATATACAATCGACATCTAAGCTGCAGCCAACTGAGCAGCACGCTCAGCCGCATCGTCTAATCCGTCAAACGCGATGATCTTCAACCCGGAATCCCGGATCATCCTGGAAATTTTTCAGAACATGAGCAGAGATAAGGGAGAAGCACAGACTGCTTGGCCTCGGCTTCTTTGGTGCCCTTCAGACGGACAACGAGAGGAATCTTCAGAGAGAGCTCTTTGGTAGCCTTGATGACACCCTCAGCGATATAATCACAACGCATAATTCCTGGAAGAATGATTATTCAGCGAACAGTTTTCAGGCAAAGGATGCTCTCTTACCTCCAAAGATGTTAATGAAGATACATTTCACTTTCGGATCGGCAAGCAAAATCTCGAAAGCCTTCTTGACAGTTTCGGGGGTAGCACCTCTGCGGATATACTTTCAGACAGGGCATGAGACGGCAGAGCAGAGCGTACCCTCCGACGTCA